ATAAATATCATCAAATAATAATTAACTAGTTATAATCCATTTAATCAATCAATTACTACACTGTATACGATATCCCTAGGAGCAGTTACACTCACTGGGGGATTTATTAACCTCTCACCCCCTTAGGAACTCAAGGGTTAAGTCCTCAACTCTAATGATAAACAACCCATCCACATGCATAAATATATATGTGTATATGTATGAATATATGTGTTTTACATACAGTTAACCCCTTTAAATGAAAAATACATTCCATCAGGGATTTTAAAGATATCAAATATGGGTGACCAAAATTAAGCTGAAAGCAATGGATCACATGAGTTTTACCTATGGGAAAATAACAGGAAAATATTGTTTTCCGCTTTATCCAAGGGAAAGATCAATACCCGGTGATTTCAGCGGGAAGTGGCGTTTCGTTCAGTGGATGAGCTGCGCGCGCACGCATAAATGTGATTATCCAATATAATTAGGGGAGGGCTATTTGAAATAGTTTTTGGTCTTAGGCGCGACCCAGGGCTGATGTCTTAAGGACATTTCGTTGAAAATGAGCCATTCGGCTGATAATTGGTGAGAGTTTGCGATCTTATAATGTTTAACTGTTACTCAGACACATATTTTGACACGATTCTGTTGGAAATAAGCTTTGAACCGAGAGATATTCACGATTGATATGCACATTTTTGATTGTGCCATTGCTCTTCCATTGCACAATCCATGTATTGATAGAAGAAACATTAATAATGCAGATTGGTTTACCTTCAATACATGGCAGACACTACATATCGGTCTATTAATACCAGTTTGTGCCTTAAATAGTTTTATATTTCCATCCACGGCCTGGAGCCTGGGTGTGTTTGTCTCTTATGTGTATGCTTGTGCATGGACTTCTAATCACTAGCAGAATTTAACATGATGCAAACTCGACATTATAACTCATGCTGTAACATTTTGACTTCGCTGGAAAACAATAGGAATTATTTTTCTTGCCAATCAATCATGAATCACAATCAAAATTTCAGAATGAGCAATCAGGCAATGATCCAAATCAAGTTATAACATTATATGATATTCAGCAAGAAGTCCGGTAGAAATACAGAATATTTAAACATCAAAGCTGAAAGTTAAAAGCTAATCTGTCAATTTTCTGTCTGCAAAAGAGCGTTTACATTTGACACAATAACAGACTGAGGCAAGAGGAGGGAAAGCCCTAGAGTTTAAAGATGACAGACATAATTACGTCTCTTGCTTACCACCTTCGTTCGTTCAAATTTTCATCGGCTAGTTATCAAATACTACACTTCGATGGGATGTTTTAATTGATATAGGCATATTCCGTACACCTTTCTTTATCTTGATGTGAAATGAGAAGCTATGATATTGGTTAACACGCCAGAAATGAACATAATATTATTCGAAGCGTATTTCGAAAATTGTGAAACCGCCATTGATGACGTAATTTGTTTGTCGACTTTTGACCAATCAGCGACGATGTCATCTCAATACAGATTTACATTATAAGCGTATGTCATCTTTGAACCCTGGTGTTTCTCCCCCTCTGGACTGAGGCTTTGAAATCTAGGATTCCCCAGGAAAATATGACGTCATACTAATTAGCATAAGGATTTCCCTATTGGTTTGGGTCGAGCCTTGTTCGAAAACACAATCCATAAATACATGCTAATATCTAAGGAGATAGGAAGTGTATAACGTGTTTATCGATTTTGTTTAAATATTTAATCAATTATCAAATTGTTTAAGTGGATAAAGTGGTCACACTTGCTTCAATTCATAGCGAAATCGACGGATAGAAACTGACCGAATTCCCGATATCCTACCCCGTATTACTGTAGGCTATAAGCACAGTGACCTACAGAGGGCGCTATCACAAACAAGTACTGCACGAACCGATAAATTCCCGGGTATTGTAACGCCCTTGCTTTATCTAAAAGAAATTTATCCTTTTAATTGTTTACTACAGGGTGTCCCAGAACTCATGAGAATTTTTTGAGGGAGATATAAGGCATGAGTGATTTTTCTTCAAATTTGGTACACTTATTAAACACACTATGGGGGATAACTGACATGAATTTCAGGCAGATATCTTTGATATTTTCGAATTTATTGACATTTGAATTCTACATCGCCACAAACCCCAGAGTTATCGGGAAAATACAACAGTTTATGTCACATTTTGTCAATTTTATACAAATTCTCAACTATAAAACCAAAGTTTTTTTGTATAAGCTTAGTACAGCATTTTTCTCATATTGATGATGCACTTTGATAAAACGATATATAAACTTTGATAGAGACCCAACATATCAACAGATTGTACATTTGGTTTGCTGAAAGATCATAATGACATGTTCCTGAGGGACTGAAAGAAATGTCCCCATTTGTTTGCCAATATGATCTTGCATATTGACAGTGCTCCAGTGAATAAGTCACTACATGCATGTCAGTAGTGCATCCAATTTACTTTCTATTGAGACTTCACAGTATATAGTAGCTCCATATACTTGCCAGATTTTGCTCTACTAGACTTTTGATTTATTTTGGGGACCTTAAACAAAGGTGAGCCTAACCATGTCACTGTTAAAACGGAGGAAGAATTGAGTCATGTTGTTTCAGAGCACCCTACAGAAATGGCTATTGGACGACTTGGGAATGTGTATAAAGAGAAGTTGAAAAGACGACATCAACTGCAGATAATATGCTTTAATAACTCTGTAGAGATATGTTAGCTGAATATGTATGATCCTATTAACTAATGTACTGAAATGCTGAAATAATTCAATGAAAACAATGCTATTAGAGTAGAGAAGTTGTATAAATATTATCAAAATGTGACGTAAATTGTTGTATTTCTCTGACTACTCCAGGGTTTGTGGCGATGTAGAATTCAAATGTCAATAAATTCAGAAATATAAAAGATATGTGCCTCAAATTCAAGTCAGTTATTCCTCAATGTTGGTTTATTAAGTGCACTTAATTTGAAAGAAAATCATTCATGCCCTATAGCTCCCTCAAAAAATTCTCATGAGTTCTGGGACACCCTGTATGTCTCAAACGCAACATATTGCAAAAAAAATTGAAAAACCAGGGGTGAACAGGGTTGAAAATCAGGTTGACATTTCCCCATTAACATGTGGGTGGATTGTTTTCACCTTCGCTGTCTCAAATTCCAAACTATTTTATCATCTCTAAGAGTTCTTTTCCTGTAGGTGATGCAATGGCCTATCATATGCACCTGCTTAAATCCTCAGAAAACAGACAAAATCCAACATATGACTCTCTGAAATCTGTTGCGATACTTTCCGTGCTCCTTTGAGACCTGATATTTCTCAATTTTTCAAATATTGCACTTGTTAAAATTCTTAAACTTCCTTAAAATTCATCTTCGGTATGTTTTACATCTTAGTTTCACACTCTAAAAGTATATGTTTCATCATAGAAGTATTGATGAAAAAGCCATAAGGGTCATCCATGGCTATACCTAAAATTCGTAAATTTGAAACCTTATATTTACAATTTTTCAAATTTTGGACTTGTTTTAAATCATTAACTTCCTTAAAACCCATCTAAATTATGTTTTACATCTTTAGTTCCATACTACAAAACCATAAATATCATCAAAGAGGGATGGATCTAGAAACTATAGGGGTCAGCCATGGCTATAGCTGGAATTCTTAAATTTGAAACCTTACATTTACAATTTTTCGAATTTTGGACTTGTTTAAAACCTATAACTTCCTTAAAACCCATCTAATTTATGTTTTACATCTTAGTTTCACACTATGAAAGCATAAATATCATCAAAGATGGATGGATCTAGAAACTATAGGGGTCAGCCATGGCTATACCTGGAATTCGTAAATTTGAAACCTTATATTTATAATTTTTCAAATTTTGGACTTGTTTAAAACCTTTAACTTCCTTAAAACCCATCTAAATTATGTTTTACATCTTAGTTCCACAGTATAAAACCATAAATATCATCATAGAGGGATGGATCTAGAAACTATAGGGGTCAGCTATAGTCATACACAAAATCCAGTTGTCAAAAATGTCAAATTTTTCGAAAAATCAACAATTTTTTTTTCAGCTCCAACTTTTTCAATGGCTTTGCATCTTTCAGGGTTACTAACCCTGCTATTGGGCACTTCACATGAATTTTTTCAACCTCTTACAGTGTCTAATTGAAAAGTTAGAATCAAAACAGTAAGAAAATGAGTCACGAATTTGCCCCCTGGGGTACACACTTTGTACTGATATTCAAATTCTTTAGGAGTAATCAGCATCAATAATACTGCAAATGATTCATATATATAATATCTATGTATGTCACTTACAAACATCAAAATATCTAAGGTTATTTAGTGTGAACAATTTTTTCCCCAGGGTAGGGTGTTTTTGGGGGGTGGGGGGCTAACTCCTCAAAAAAAAGAACTTCCTACCACTCTGCGAAGCTATCACCTAGATGGAAATTTCATCCAAGACTCTCCCCTATCTGAAAATACTGCCAAACCAACTATACACCATTTATTGAGAATTTTCCTCCTCGCCCCTTGAGTATTCCCCATGTTCTTCAGTCACGTTTTCTCATTGTGAGTTCAAAACAAATGGTTGTGATCTCGAGCGCACCAAATTAATGTTTTGGGGACACATATGATATCGGCCATGGATAGTGTTCTTTTTCCTTTTGCAAACGGTGGGTTTTTCATGTAGAGACTCGATAACATGGTGCCATATAGCCTAGACGGTGAACACCGCCTCTAATGCGTTGGATTGTCGTCCTCAGAGACCCAGAGGGTGAATGAATGCACCTAGGTGCCATAATGATCCGTCTTGCCACACGGCCCTTCTTCCCTCGCTGTCCCCTACTTATTATGTTTATGTAAACTAAAATTGTCGCAACGCACGAAACTGGCAAGAAATTAAAAACCTTTTAAAATTCCCGCCACGAGATCCACCCAATCAACGCTCATGCTACAATAACCTTTTGGCGAAACTATTGACGAATGAAATGAGAGCTTACAAAGAGTTATGGCGTGAAATGAAAAAATTCACCGCACAAATTTCTAAAAAATCTAAATGCGCGGAAATGAAAGGAACTGATTGAGAAGAAGATACAAATTTGAAAGTTTATTAAAGCGAAAGACATTGAAAGTGAAATATTAACAGGTTAGGTAAATATTACCACTGGCACTTGCACTTGTTCCTGTGAATCACAGAGAAATTTTACTTTTCTTTGCAAATTGAGTCGAGGCTTGCTCTATTGACTTCTTTTTCCTTCTAGACGAATTCCTGTGCTGTGAATGTTACAACATCTCCTACCACTGGTGGATCCAGGGTCCCGGGGCCGCCCTCCCCTTTTGTGGCCCTGAAAAAATGTTTAGGGTCCACAAAAATGGGCATGGACTTGAGTCAACGTTGCTTTCGCAACTTACGTCCAATAATTTTGTCGGGCCTTGAAAATCGGCCTTTTTATATGGACACAGAGTTGATTCAATGTTTCTTTCGAAACTTCCATACAAAATTATATGGAAGTTTCGAAAGAAATGTTGACTCGTCAAGTCTATGCCTTTTTGGGCACAATTTGGCCCAGGGCCAAATTTTCAAAAATGGGCCTCAAAATTTGGTCCCAATTTTTGCTTTTCTTGTAGCCATTTCTGAAAAATATGAGACAAATCATACCTCATTCAAAGCGTCCAGTTATTCAAATGACCGTTATTCAAGCAATACTGCGTTGATAAAAGGACAAAACAGTTATATTTTATCGCTGGACTCTTGTCTGTCAAAATCTGAATGGTGCTACCGTGGTTCCAGAAATGTGACGTCATCAGTACCATGATATTTGGACACACAAGAGTCCGGATCTCCTGAATTATTCTCTGAGCCTATGATCCTACTACAAAACAATCTGGCCAACATCAGTGACAAACATGGACAATTTCTATTGTCAAAATTTGCACCCCCCCCCCTTGTTAGCTTCTGAATTTACCAGGGAATACATCTTTTGTAATTGACCTGAATAAAAATTTGAATCCCAAAAATTTTTTATAAAGAAACTTTTTCATTTTGACATTTTGAAGGTCAACTAAAGGTTAAAGCTGAAATCTAAGGACAGATTTGAACTCCTGAGAACTTGAGTTTTTAGAAAAATTGTCAATTTGATGCAAGTTGAAATTTGGTCTCGAAAGATTTTGAAATTTGACCTTTTTAGCTCACATGGTGAGCTTTTGCAATCACTCACTTGTCCGTCTGTGTGTCCGTCCGTCCTTCCGTCTGTCTGTCTGTCCGTCAACAATAGTGGCACATTTTAAAACCTCTGTCGATAGGATTCCTGTTTTAAGTTATTTCTGTTCAACATCAATACAGAAAACCCCCCTATGACTGCTGGTTCAAAAGCTCGCCTATTTTCAAAATGGCCGTCACTTTTGTCTCGCGAATACACTTTTAGCCCATTTCCTAGCTAACCTCTGTCGATAGGATTCCTGTTTTAAGTTATTTCTGTTCAACATCAATACAGAAACCCCCCCCTATGACTCCTGGTTCAAAAGCTCGCCTATTTTCAAAATGGCCATCACTTTTGTCTCGCGAAATTCACTTTTGTCCCATTTCCTAGCTTTACAAATAATTTCAGGTGTCCTAAATTGTAAAAATCCATGTCAATGTAAAGATTAGATATATGAAATAATTTTGTTACAAAAAATCAGCGAAAAATTGTATCCATTTTTTTATTTTCAGCCATTTTAGTTAACATTGATTTGTCTATCTGACTCGCGAAATCCACTTTCTGTGGCACGTTTTAAAACCTCTGTCGATAGGATTCCTGTTTTAAGTTATTTCTGTTCAACATCAATTCAGAAAACTCCCCTATGAGTCCTGGTTCAAAAGCTCGCCTATTCTCAAAATGGCCGCCATTTTTGTCTCACGAAATTCACTTTTGACCCATTTCCTAGCTTTACAAATAATTTCAAGTGTCTTACATTGTAAAAATCCATGTCAATGTAAAGAGTAGATGTATGAAATAATTTTGTTACAAAAAATCAGCGAAAAATTATATCCATTTATTTATTTTCAGCCATTTTAGTTAACATTGATTTGTCCATCTGTCTCGCAAAATCCACTTTTGGACCATTTACCTTAAACCCTCTGTCGATAGGATTCCCATTTTAAGTTAATTTTGTTCAACATCAATACAAAAACTCTCCTATGACTCTTGGTTCAAAAGCTCGCCTATTTTCAAAATGGTTGCCATTCTTGTTTCGCGAAATTCACTTTTTGCCCATTTTCTAGCTTTACAAATAATTTCAGCTGTCCTGCATTGTAAAAAGCCATGTCACTGTAAAAGGTAGTTGTATGAAATAATTTTGTTACAAAAAATCGGCAAAATATTATATCCTTTTTTTTATTTTCAGCCATTTTAGTTAACATTGATTTGTCCATCTGTCTCGCGAAATCCTCTTTTGGACCATTTGCTTAAAACCTCTGTCAATAGGATTCCAGTTTCAAGTTATTTTTGTTCAACATCAATACAAAAAACTCCCCTATGACTCCTGGTTCAAAAGCTTGCCTGATTTCAAAATGGTCGCCATTTTTGTCTCGCGAAATTCAATTTTGGCCCATTTCCTAGCTTTACAAATAATTTCAGGTGTCTTGCATTGCAAAAAGCCATGTCACTGTAAAGAGTAGTTGTATGAAATAATTTTGTTACAAATTATTGGCAAAAAATTATATCCGTTTTTTTTTCAGCCATTTTAATTGACTGAGAGACAGATGGCTTGAAATAATTTTGTAACAAAAAATCAGCAAAAAATTATACCATGTGAGCCCAGTACCCACGGTACTAATTTTTTCAGTTTTTGAGGTCTTACATCTCAAAACGGGCTCAAAATTTCAAAATAACAGTCAATTGCCAATATGTGTGTCTTAACTTCCAGTCAAAAATATTGATTTGTAGTCTTGAACTTTGATAGTCCAACAAAGTTAGATTTAGTCTGGGGCCTCAATTCCTATCTGTCATGTCTTAGGCCCTGACTAGGTCTAACCTCCACTAGTGTTCAGCTCGAATTAGATCAGATTGATGACTAAGCCAGATAGATTGTGACCTTGTTTGATGACCTTGACCATAGACCTTGAATTTTTTACTTTTTCAGAGTTTAGACTTCATGTCAGTATGTCTTTTCTGATTAGTTGACCTGAATTTGAATCCAAAAAATCAATTTGAAAAATCAACTTTTTGACTTTCCGGAGGTCAACCAAAGGTCAAATCTTAGGTCAGATTTTGACTCCTGAAAATTTGTAAATAAATAGAATACAAATACCCGTCTGTATGCAAAGATTCAGGCACAAATATCGAAGTGTAGTGTCAGATTTTGAGAAACTTACAAAAAGCTTTGATTTGACCTACATTTTGACCTTCAACTTTGACCTAGATAAACATTTATTTTCCACCTGCAGTACAGCCAGGGTCCCTAGTATTGTATTGCAGCTAAAACCGTTGGTCAAATTCGTTGCATTTTGAAATTATTTACTCTTTTTGTTTTAGAGCCATCCAGAGGAGATCAGATGTCTGTTTAAAGCAAAGCTGACCTGCAAGTGCATATGTGATTACAAAAATGACTATTTTGAATTGGTAAGTAGTAAAATATCATAGAATAAGTTTTGTGATAGATCTAAATCATTCCACATTTCCAGTTACATAAGTTCAGACTTAAAGGCCGGTTTTTAACTTGCTAGCAACTCTCATTAAAATATCAGGTTACATCCACACTTTAACATGGCACAGATAGTCAGGATTAGTAAGTTTAATTAACAGCATTGCTAAATACTTGATTTTGATTGACTTATCTTGAGGACTTTTAAATTTGAAAAATGTTATTACTGTTTTTAAATGTCCTATCACAATCCAACAAAATGATGAAGTTGAACTTAAAAACATTGAAAGACACACATAACAAAATTGGAAGCAATACATCTTCTCAATCAATATGAAATATGAGAAAATTGACCAGTTTTGAGAAAATATCAAAAATACAGTTATTTTGGCTATTCCATTATAATTAATAGTAGAAAGGTGCAACTTGGAGTTAATTTTTGAAAAAATAAAATTTCTTCACAGGATGTCATGCATAGGCTGGTTCATTTTGTCTGCGATTCAGTCCCTTTTTGAGTGAAAAATAATTGGTATGAAAAACAACTTTTTGTAAAAAGGACCTGCTCTACTCCATTGATCAAATTAGTCGATGACCATTGATCAAATTAGTCCATGACATCCTATGCAGTGATCTCCCCATGTCACTTTTACCGGGGGGCCCCCCTACTTGAAACAAAGGGCCCCCCAGTTGGCACCCGGTTGGCAACCTGCACTTCACCTTCTGATTTGAAAAATGAGTGAAGTAAGCACGTACACTGAGACATTGTGAGCGTACCGAGCGCTGATTTTTTCTGACTTGAAAACTTGCACCCAGTTGAAAATTTTTTTTGGGGAGAACACTGCTATGTAAATGCCAGAATGATAAAAAACCCAGTGACAGCTCAGAATGTTGGGTGTGGGACATTGGGGGAGGGTACCATCCATTCGGGGTGAGAATATATATTGTAGACCTTTTTAGGCTTAAAGGTTTATATTTCCATGCACACTTTCATTAAGAATAAAAAATGTGATGAAAAATTATGGTAAATTTCATTTAAAAATATTTGTCATTTTTAGAGAAAAATTTACAATGCTTTCTCAAATTCACATACCGTAAAAATTAGATTTGAAGGCCTCAATTTAAACATTTTTTCTCTTTTTATGAGTAGAAAATGTATACCTTGGTGATTGATCACAATTAATTATTTTCATTACTGACTTTTCCAGGCTGGAGTACAACCTTCAGAGGGATCCTTCAGATAATGGCATTACTCTCCAAGAAATACTCTCCAAGTGCAATAAAGATAGATACAATTGTGGTCTCGCCCTTGTGGACCGGAGAAGACTTGGACGTTTAGTGATAAAGTACTTCCAAATCGGAATATCAACAAAGGTCATGCCAAACAATATTCTTTATAGCTTAAAATGGAGAAATCATATCAGGGTTATACCTTTTAACATTGGTAATGACACCTCATTTATAAAAGAGACTGGCTGGCGTGTTGATTCAACAACTGAGCATGCCCTCATCCTGGCTAAAGTTATTGACTTAAAAATTAATAATTTAAATGTTGAGGAGAAAGTTGAATTTAGAGGTGACAGGTGGTCTTTGAAGATCAACGATAGACAAGTAAATCTGAATGACATTGATGTAGATGACAGGTATATAACATCACAAGATGGCATTCTCACAGTTCTAGCTGTAGTGGATCATATCTCAGTCTGCCGTGGAAAGGAATTGAAAGTTAAGTTTGCAAACAATTCAATCCAAAATGCCAATTTGGAAAATATCAATAATACTTCAAAAATTGTAGTTAATAGCACAGAATGTTTAATAGCAGTTCCTATCACCTGTGGTGGAGACACTTGTCCAGCCTGTAAAACAGTTGTAGAAAATGTAAAGTTTTTACCTCATGTACCAGAAAAGAGTTCATCTGAATGTGGAATTGCTTCAGATAAATCCATTGCTGATATAAAAGAAGAACATAACTATGCTAACGAGAGGAGCACTGACTCTCATCATGATCAACCTGAGGAAAACTCAAATCAAACTTTTGAACAAACTCACAAAGTAATGGCTTCAATACTCAATAATATGGAACCAATGCAACCAATTGTCAAACAGGTGCATTCAACGCTCAGTGAAACTTTGCCATCCAAGAAACAAAGTGGCAAAGTGAAATCGTCAGCAATCAATGACAAAGCGATAATAAGAACTCAGAAAACAGCTGAACCAATGACAAAAAATGTACAAAGGATAATCAAAAAACAACCAAATCCAGAAAAAAATATTTTTATACCTCCAGAACTGCCGAATATTGATCATGTTCTAATTCCTGTATCTAATGTTGATCATGTTTTAGTTCCTGTATCCACCAAAAATACAGAGGAGAGAATTGAAACTATGCAACAGAGTAAAGACCATCAAAGCCAATCAAAGCACGAGGAACAATATGGTCTTGTGAATTACGTGCAGGGAGTCCCTATACTGAAACATGGTGAAGTTCTGCCAGGAAAAGAACAAGACAGTTTTTGTGATGTAGTGATAAAAGATACAGAATTACAACCTAGTTCAGAACAATATATTGGTACGTAAAATATATTTTATTTAGAAACATGCTAAAGAGATTTTTTAACGATTTCTTAATTTATAAAAATTGTTGCAATAAATATTTTTTGGCAATGTTTGTTAATAAACAGGTAAATATAATTTGCAACTCTCAGAATCGGACATCACTAAAGAACAGTTACCTTCACAACATGTCGCCATGCTGTCTGTTAAATGGAGTGACTTCTCTACCGTAAAAAATTATCTTAAAGGCAATGTGAAGTTTCGTGATCTAATTTACACGCTGACTACTTATAACCATATCTTTCACTTCAGCTCACCCATTTGACATATTGTGTTTGAACTAACATATTATTCAAGTTCAAAATATCCATATCTGGACCACAGCAGACGCCGCTGTTAGTATCAATGACGTCATTGAGGCCTTAAAATTGATGCCTGAAAAGTGTCGCTAGATATCACTTCATACTCAAATCACAGAAATAGAGGCCTGTTCATTTTCTTCATGTGATAGGTAGAAAAATCACCATTATTGGTTCGCGATTCGGAATTTAACTGGGTTTGACTGAAAAGTAATCGCATTATATTTACTTGAAAAGTATCCTCAGGGATAGGGTATCCGTTGGAAAATAGGTCTGACCGTCACAATTGCTTTCTTACCTACATTAATGGTAGATTTCTCCAATTTGTGATTCCAAATGGGTCTACCAAATTGACTGACAATCGGCCAGTCGGTCTTCTTCTCTTAGACAAGTAGGTGCAGCATCAAATCAATAGGTTGAATCAATGCCAATGACAAAGTAACTTAAACGTGTTTAAAAAATTAAAATCATGATGAATCGTCTACTCTACTCCTATATATTGGCTATATGGGCTCATGCCGCTAAAGAAGGTAATTTTTTTGCTGAAAAATCCCTAGATGTGGGTCCCATTTTGAAGAAAAAAAACTAGGTATGGGTCCCATTTTGATGAAATAATCCCTAGAACTGGATCTCCTTTTTGAAAAATCCCAAAACTGGGTACTGTCTGAAGTGAGTCTTGTTTTTTAAAAATTACCTTGAAGAAAACCCCTAGATGTGGGTTCATTTCTTTTAGAAAAGATATTTTGAGTCTCAGTGGCACCCCTTAGATTGTCACTCAATAGTTTGTTGTATATTTCCAGAAAGCCTGATCCAAAACATTCTTATGAATGAAGGAGATGATAATGATGGTACAGTTCAACATATTAAAGATGACGATAAAGTGACTCAACATATTAAAGATGACGATAAAGCGACTCAATTGGATAATGTCTTCAGTGATACCAATATGGATAAAGACGACAGAAATATCCACGCTGATTATGAAGATGTGAAGCCTTATCTTGATCATGAATTATTATCTGATGCACAAAGTCAAGCCACTTCAAAGGCTCAAGTCAAAGGTAATATGCCAATGTACCTTAAATTATTTTTGTTACTGTATTTTATTTGTCTTTAATTTGCCACTACTTAATTTGGCAATTTGCATACCTGCCAACCTATGACCAAAGATTTCCGGTAGTTCCTTTTTGAATTGCGTTATTTTTCAACAAAAATGCGGTAGTTATACAGAAGATTTTGAAAAAAATTTGTAGTTTTTGCAGTACAGTTTTGAAAAAACTACTTTTTCGGAAGTTTTTGAAAAATGTGGTAGTTATATGGTAGATATTAAAAAAATGCAGTAGTATTGTGATAGAATTTTGAAAAACTAGTTTTGCGGAAGATTTTGTAAAATGTGGTAGTTTTCCAGTAGATTTTGAAAAAATACGGTCGTTTTTTGCCGTAAATTTTTGAAAATTGTGGTAGTTTTTGCGGTAGATTTTGAAAAAAACTAGTTTTGCGGAAGATTTAAAAAAAATTGCTAGTTTTACGGTAGATTGAAAAACAGATTTTGCGTCGATTTTGACACACTTCAATAAATAAATAATAAAGTATGTTTTTCTATCACAGCATTCATGGAACTCTTTCATAAACAGACTAACAATTTGAACACTTCAGTGTTTTTATAACTTCAGTAGAACATGATGTAGTTGAACACTGTGTTTTTGCATCACAAAACTCCCCGGTGTTTTGACTGATTACACGCCAGCTAACTTAGTTACTTACTAAGTACGCAATAACCACTGTCACAGACCTGCCAACACCTATTTATTTTTGGGTTGGTAATGGAATATTACAAGGGCAATGCGGGAAGACTTCAGAATTTTTCAGAATTTCCAACGGTTGATTTTACGGTAGTTTGAACAAAAATACTGTTAATTTCAGCAGATATACGGTAGATTTCCAAATACTGACGGTATGTTTTACGGCCATTCTTATAGAAAAAATCAAATTATAATAAAATATTTTACGGGAGAATTTTGTTAAGTAAATTACAGTAGATTTTTTACGGTCATTTATACAGGAAAAATGGTAAATTTTTTTATGGTAGTAATTTTACGGTAGATTCCTGTAAAAAATGGTAGGTTGGCAGGCATGAATTTGTGTTTTTGGGCCTATTTGTGTGACGTCTATTTAATTTGGCACTTTTTCAAGTGTCCAAGAAAATAGACATTCTCCCGTCCAACCCAATTGAAAATTGCAATCTTTAAAACCCCTGAAGGAATGCATTATTCCTTTAAAAGGATTAACTGTGTGTCAAAACGCAACATATTGGTACATAACAAACATTGAAAAGCAGGGGTATTAGGTGTTTCTTTTTTGTACTTTTTTCTGGTCAAGATCTTCTTTTGCCCAAGGTCTCCTGATAGTTCTAACCAAGCACAAAAAAATTCAGCCAAATCCATTGATGTTGAGACCTCCCTGTACAACATTTCTGATGCCTGTTTGCTACTTTGTTAAAACCTTGTCGGAAAATACCCTGCGTGCAGAGTCTAGTTAAAGCGGCTCTAAGGTCTGTGGAGAGAAAAATGGAGAAATTTTACCTTTTCTGAGCTATCGGGGTGAAGTTTGGTCCAACATCTTCTTCCTTATTCCTATTTTATAAAAATGTATGCATATGGCAATATTCATCAACCAGTAGAACTGGCAAATCGTTTAGAATCTACAATTCCATACAAGGAGTCCCACTCATAGATTTTTCAAATTCTTTCCAAGTCGACGTCGAAACACCTAGCGGGTGAAATTGAAACTAATTTTTCTGGCTGCTTGAATCGATAAAATCTCTGATAGTGTGAGTCTTTTTATGAAATCTTTCTGATAGAAAACACTTAATTAATATTAGAAAGCATTAAATGTTGAATCCGAAGCGTAATCTGAAATAAAAGTGAAAAAATATTGCGCGGTCGTCAGAGAACAAACTTCCGGATTAATAAAAAATGGCGGACGTCGAAGGAGAAATTATGACGAAGAATTAGAGGATTTTCCTTTGCCATTATCGATCGTTATAAGGTATGTGCACAAATTCTAGTTGCATACATGGAAAATAGATACATTTTTAAAGGCAACAACATATTCAAAGCTTTCATTTTACGATAGGCCCAGGATCATTGGATACGACTCGGCAATCGATATTCCCACTTTAAACTACACTCTGCCTAGTAGAGACCATATTACAGTTTAGTAGCCCTGCCCCCACGACGGGTACCTGTGACAGTTTGGGTAAATCACTTTTGACCTACGCGCTGACCTTCCACCAATCAGCGAGCTTGAAGAAACATACGCCAAATGCGTTCTAATTAAATATGCGCATGTCATTGGTCAATTCCGGGCTTAACGAAGACGTCAGAAGGAATGACCATATAAAGAATGTCAGTTTTTGGCCAACGAACACTGATTGGCACGGTGAGTTCACAGGTCTATTTTAGTTTGAAAGAGTGAAGACGAAACTCTCCTTTAAGAAGTGAAGTCAAACGAATGCAAAGGGTAGTCTGAAAATGGCAGAAAGTGTCAATTTCACCATGTTTGAGATCTGGGCCGTGTTCTACCAAAGGCACTATGGTAATTCATATCAAATTTATCTAAAATTTTGTTTAATGTATTTTTGATCTATGGTAAAGATTTTAAAATGGTAATCATATGTTTGAGAAAATAATCATTTGAAATTTGATTTACAAGAATGTGCTATATAATATTGGAAATGCTAATCCTTGTCAGTTTTTTTAGCAAGATTCAGGCTTGGTTAGAATCCGTTTTAGAGGTCCTATGATCTTCAAAATTGCAGATGTAGCAAGACAGGCTTTTGGGTTTCACACCTTCAAAAAGTTCAGAACCCAGGAAGTTATTGGCTTCCTAAATTGGCCAAAATTCAGTGCGTGAGACAATTTAAAGTTTCTTCCATTTTTAGGGGAGCATGATTAAATGATTAAGACATACACATCCTCCTAAGCAGGTATCCAGAATCCGTACCTCCTTCTTCCCCCTGCTATAACCAATTTGGAAGCGCCCGATTAAACTGAATCACATGATCTAATTATGCACAATGACTTATGCATGATTTCTGTCGCAGTGTTGTGACAACCAATCAGATTGCGAGTTCTTAATCGGGGAAATGCTAACTGCTTATCGCAGGGTGTAAAAAGAATGAGACCTGATGAACTAAAATCTAGCACTTGCTCTTTTGGGGATGACAATTCTTCAATAAATAGTTCTACAGATTCTAAATCTGTTCAAAGAGCTGATTGAGATTAAGGACATATACAATAAATAGGCCTTTAAACAATTGTTTTCTCTGAAATGAAGGAATGAACCATCTCAAGAGTTTTATACCCATCAAAGACATATTGTTCTGCATTATAAGTGACTTGGATGAAAAAATGTTAATTTCCTTAAACATATGATACTGACAGACATTTGTGATAAAAATGTTGGAATTCTGCCTAAAATGCTTGAATTAAGGAAAATATGAAAATCGTACATTCGAGATTCAGACATTTTGTTACCAACACGAAACATTTCGATAACCAGCATAATTGAGTGGATCACCAGTGTTATGGAGAGGTGTGATTTTTGAGTTTCAGATATTTAGTGATGTTTTGTTTGTTTCAAATATGCACTTAGAGCTGGAGTAACATCTAATTTGGGATTATCTTGGTATTTCTTGAATACTAATGTGGTAATAGGTTTATTTGGATTTGTAGTTTTTGTCAATTTTTATAATGATTTCTGACCCATTATTGGTGGCTAGTTCTAATTCATCTGCAACAAAAAATTGAGATGGTTTCACACAAAAATGTGTCTATTTAGTATAGTCAATTGTCTTATAAGTGGCGTCTCAAAAGCGGTCTGAGCGAGCTAGCGGTCAGGTTTTCAGCCTTTTTGGTCATTACTCCATAAGTATCTCATTATATTATTGATTTGCTTGAAATTGTACAGGACAGGTAACTTTTTAGCTTCTAAAAATACTGAAACTTTCTGTTCCATGTGAGCACAGTAATGATGGTACTATTTTTAGTTGGTTTTTATTTTACATGTACCTATTGCACTACTGTCTCCAGCATTGAGTGTTTTGTAGACAGCTTGTTGTTTATAGACTGCATGGTCTTTTTGGTTATCTCTTTCAACATACTTGCATTTTCAATGTTCATATTTTTATTTTATTAATTATTTGCATACCTGATTGAAAGGAATGAATATACATGTATTTCATTTCATCTTCCTTATTTTCATCAGATTGTGAATCTGACTCTGAAAGCCTCGTGGACCTAGTAGATGTGGGGTTGGCCATCTTGAAACTAATCTTAGTTTCTTGGAGCCAAATCTGTCCTTCTCCTTTGAGAGTTTGGAAAAATAGGCTGATTATTTGTTTACATGGGGCAAGTGCATATTGCTTATCCACGCAACGTGAACATGTGACCATTTAGTCTTGAAAAAACTGATAATCGTGCCAAGGCATTTGAATAAGTAATGGATTCATGATAGTAAAGATATCTTGTTTGTATGTTTGTAAAGTCCTGCTTTTTCAGGCCAAACCATTTCATGGGTTAAAGCATTTACAGCTGTACTTTGGTATTTTTAGGGAAAAGAAAAGGCAAGGAATCAGATTAGCACAAATTGAAATAAAATTGAAACTCTTTTGGAAAGGCTACTTTTTATCGCACTTTGAAAAAGTGCTATATTGTCCTCGTCTTGTGCTGTTGGGCGGGCGGGCGGGAGTGCGGGCGGGCGGCACATAAACCAAATCTTGTCATCAAATTTCCAGGATAACTGCTTACCTGTTCAACTTGAAATTTTTACAGATGCAAGAGCAGACTAGTACCAAGATCTGATTAGGTTAAGGGCATGCTGGGTAAACTACGTGGCGGCCATTTTGAATTTTTCAACAAATCTTGTCATCAAAATTCCAGGAAAACCACTTATCCGTTCAACTTGAAATTTTTACAGATGCAAGAGCAGACTATTGCCAAGATCAAATTAGGTTTTGGGTGTGCTGGCTGAATTACATGGTGGCCATTTTGAATTTTTCAATTTGGCGGCCATTTTGAATTTTTCAACTTGCTCAAATCTGACCTTAGATTTCAGATTTGACCTTTAATTCACCTTCAGTGACCTTGAAAAGGTCAAAAAGTTGATTTTCTAGAATTATTCTAGATTTAAATTTAGGTCAGCTTAATTACAAAACACCTACTGAGGTCTAAAAAGGTGAAATTTTCAAGGTCGAGGGTCAAGGTCATTAAACTAGGTCACAACAGGAATTCCAGGAAAACCACTTATCCGTTTAATTTAAAAAAAAACAAAAAAAACTAGGTCACAGATTTGACCTTTTATTCACCTTCAGCTTCAGTGACCTTGAAAAGGTCAAAAAGTTGATTTTCTCAATTGGTATTTTGGATTCAAATTTAAGTCAGCAAGGTCGAAGGTCAAAGTCATTAAACTAGGTCACAAATGATGTTATCCAAGTTTCTCAAAGTTTGAGACTTAAAATCAATTATTGTCATCAAAATTCCAAGAAAACCGCTAACCTGTTCAACTTGAAATTTTTACAGATGCAATAGCAGACTAGTGCCAAGATCTGATGCGGTTAAGGGCATGCTGGGTAAACTAAATGGCAGCCATTTTGAATTTTCCCACAAATCTTGTCATCAAAATTCCAGGAAAACCACTTATCCGTTCAACTTTAAATTTTAACAAATGCAAGAGCAGACTAGTGCCAAGATCTGATTAGGTTTTGGCCATGCTGGGTAAATTGCATTGTGGCCAGTTTGTTCTTCAAAGTGCGATATTTATCACTGTGTGTCTTGTTAGATTCTGTCATTAACTTATATTTTATCGTTCCAGATGTCAGGGTTTACTATTATGGACAAAAGGCATCAATCATGTCAGACAAACCCCGAGGACAAGCAATGCAGGACAATAAGACACGTTGTGATTTGTGCAATAGAAATTGCAGAACAATCCTGTCTCTTAAGAGGCATAAACAAACATTCAAACACCTTAAGTGTGATATATGTACAAGCAGTTTCATTGAGGAAATTGACCTGATGGGTCATTTAATAACTGCACATAAGATCAAAGTTCAATGTGGTTTTTGCAACCAGAAATTGAAATCTGTGTTGAAAATGAGGAATCATTTAAAGAAGGCCCTGCACTTCAAATGTACACTTTGCCCAAAGAGGTTTGAAACAAACAATCTGCTGACCAAACATTCTATGAGGCATACTCTAAAACCATTTACATGTAATCAGTGCTCAAAACTCTTTACTAGTGAAGAAGATTTGAATACCCATTTTAATTCTGCCCATAGATGTGAGAAGTGCCTCGAGGTGTTTACTTCTAGACAAGACTTGAGAACTCATGTCCTGTCTAGCCATGGATTGTATACATGCAGATATTGCTCAAAATGTTTTACTTCTAAAACTGATTTTAACACTCACCTGCGTTATTTTCATGATGATGCACTGTTAAAGTGTGTTTATTGCGGGAAATGTTTTAAAAGCAAAGGCGACTTAAACATTCACTTGAGAATCCATACTGGAGAAAAGCCATATCAATGTGATGCATGTTCAAAAAGATTTACTAGTAGTACAGGTTTGCTTTATCACAAAAAGCGAGTTCATTTGGTTAAGACATTCATATGTGTTGATTGCAACAGAGTGTATGGAACCAAATCTGAACTCAACAGTCACAGAAGAATACACACAGGTGAAAAACTTTTTCATTGCCAATATTGTCCAAAATACTTCCTACATTCACACCATTTGGAAAATCATATTCGGGTTCACACAAGAGAAAGACCCTTCATGTGTGAATATTGTTCAAAGTGTTTCAGCCAAGAGTACGGTTTAATAATTCATCGAAGAAAAGTACATTTTGGAGAGAAACCATATAAATGTGAAGAGTGTTTGAAACAGTTTGCTCAAAAAAGTGTCCTTAAGAACCATATAAGATTACACACTAAGGAATTTCAGTGTGAACTTTGTTCAAAATGTTTTAAAAATGAAAGTAGTTTGGTAGTTCATAGACGGCTGCACACTGGAGAGAAACCTTACAAATGTGAACATTGTTCAAAATGTTTTACATGTACAAAAAACTTATATATTCATAAAAGAATACACAGTGATGAAAAACCATTCAAATGTGCACATTGCCCTTCACAATTTAGACTTAAAACTTCATTAAGAAAACACTTAGCAATCCACACAGGAAAATATAAGTGCAAAACATGTTTGAAGTGTTTTGAAATAAAAAGGGAACTTTTACTCCACACAAAAACTCATATTGAGGATAACCAGTTTAAGTGTTCACATTGTTCAAGGCATTTTACTGAGGAATCCTCATTGATTAAGCATAGGAAATTACACACAGAGGATAACACATATAAATGTGAACATTGCTACAAGGAATTCAAATGTATGAGTTCACTGAGCAAACATTTGAAATGCCATCAGAGAGCAAGGATATTTAGATGTGAACATTGCCATAAATGCTTTTCTTCAAAAAAGTATTATTTAGCGCATAAATGTATCCACACCAGAGAGAGACCCAATACTCATAATGTTGGGAAGAAAAAATTCATGTGTGAACATTGCTCTAAAGTGTTTTTTCAGCGAAGACATTTCATGAATCATATACGTATTCATACTGGTGAGAAGCCTTTTCAGTGTGAATTTTGTTCACAATTCTTTAGACAGTTGATTACATTGATGGTTCATAGAAGGATTCATACTGGAGAGAAACCATTCAAATGTGAACTTTGTCCAAAGTCCTTCAGAGAAAGGGCACAGTTGAGAAATCACAGGAGGATTCACACTGGAGAAAAACCATTTAAATGTGAATTCTGCTCAAAATGCTTCAGAGTTAAGGCATCATTGAGAATACACAGAAAAACACATACTGGTGAAAAATTAGCTGTGAGCACTGTCACAAGTACTTTAATCAAAAAACCACCTTGATAAATCATATGAATCTCTGGCTATGATTAGAATATTATTATTTCAATTTGGATGAAAGCCCAAGACACAATGAATTGATGGTGAATTTGATGGTAGTTTATTTCAGATAAAAAGAAGATCTTGTTATATTACTACATTATAATTTATAATACTATAGCTTTTTGATATGAAATCAATGTTTTGCCATGTTATAGCATTCCTTTATAAACCATGCATCTGTTGTAAAATATAGAATACACAAGGAGATACGCTGATTACTCAAGTAGTTTAAAATAAGTACTAAATTAGCACTTTGGCAAAAGTGCACTCATGTCACTAGTGCTAATTTAGTACTAATTCATGATATGAGTACTCATTTAGTGCTGAAAAATCAATTTTATTAATACTGCCTTTTCATCACTCATGATATGAGTACTCATTTAGCGCTAAAATATCAATGAAATTACTGCTATTTTATCACTCATCGTATGAGTACTGAATTAGTACTAAAACATGCAATAAATCAGTACTAATGTCATATGTGCTCATTTAGTACTAATATTTACTGAAATGAGTACTCAGTTAGCGATAAAATGCCATGAGTAGTATTTCAGTACTCGGCATATCTCCCTGTGTAGCTATACTACACAGGGGCGTAGCCAGCTTTCAGTCAGGAGGGGGTGCGATTGCCAAAAAAATTCCGGTTTTCAGTCAGGGAGGGGGGTTGCAATTGTGGCACAAACATGCCAAAAACTAAGATTTATTTTGAATTTTACAAAATTGATGCAATTTTCTTCAAAATTGAGCTAGAAGCTTCAAATTAAAAGCATTTTAGAGCTCTTTTCTTCTTTCTCATGGTTTTATTTTTTATTGGCTATGGGGGGGATGCACCCATCTCTCCCCCTGGCCTGGGTATCACTATAGTCAGAATTATATGTTGGAATATCTATTACATAGGCGTAGCGATGGGTGCCATGAGAAAGCCATGAGAAAGAAGAAAAAAGAGCTTTAAAATGCTTTTTATTTGAAGCTTTTATCTCAATTTTGTAGGAAGTTGCATCAATTTTTGTAAAATTCAAAATAAATCTTATTTTTTGTCTTGTTCATGCCACAATACTGAAAGCTGGCTACGCCCCTGTATTATGTTTTGACAGTTTAACTTATAATATTAGCACACTAATGGCAATAAATCTTTCTGTGTTTTAGAACTAGTACTATGTATATATAGATACTCTTACTGAATCATGTATTATGCCTTTGATGATCGAGAAAGACTGTAATTTGGTGTTTAAAATATATTTTACCAAGGAAAATGTAAAAGTAAATCAAGCACCTTGAAATAGGTATGATCTTTTTGGATTAAAAATAAGGCATGACAATAAAGATTTATTCTTAGATTATTATTTATACTTATTGTTATGTCCCCACCACATAGTGGCGCGTCCGTCTGTCCGTCCGTACGTCCGGCAGTTTTCTCCAAAACCGCTACAGGTATCACCTTCAAATTTTCAGGGATAACTTATGAGTGCATACAGATGTGGATGAAAAAAATTTAACTCGATACCTACTTCCTGTCGTCCATTTTGAAGTCAAATGCTAAAATCCTTGTCTGCAAACTTAAAGAAAAACAGCTTCACAGTTGCTTTTGAAACTTTAAAATCTTGTTCAGCTCACTTCATTCTATATCTGATTAGGTTTTGAACCTGTTAGCTCAGTCATGTCAGCCATTTTGAATGTCTTAAGAAAAGTTAGCGCGCGATAATACTTTGTCTCATATTGAATGGTGTTTTTGAGTTTTCATACTTACTATTTAATAGCTTTATAAATAATTTCAGGTGCACTTTGTTGTAAAAGCCTATGTTATTGTTAATTGATTGTTAACAGGAGTTATATGTGATAATTTTGTAAAAGGAAATCAGCAAAAACTAATAATCACTTTTTTATTGTCAGCCATTTTGGATTTTTTCGTCCTAAAATCTTGTCTGTAAAGTCTTGTCTACATGTTTTCAGGTGAACTGTTGGTAGATCAATTTCAAATTTTCAGGGATGATTCTTAGTTTGAAAATCTAGATCTGATTAGGTTTTTGGCATTCTGGGAAAATATCAAGGCAGCCATTTTGGATTTTCCATCCTAAAATCTTGTCTGTAAAGTCTTGTCTACGCATTTGCAGGTGAATCGTTTGGTAGATCAATTTCAAATTTTCAGGGATGATTCTTAGTATGAAAATCTAGATCTGATTAGTTTTTTGGCATTTTGGATTAATGTCAAGGCAGCCATTTTGGATTTTCCGTCTTAAAATCTAGCCTGTAAAGTCTTGTCTACCTGTTTTTAGGTGAACCGTTTGGTAGATCAATTTCAAATTTTCAGGGATGATTCTTAGTATGAAAATCAAGATCTGATTAGTTTTTTGCCATTCTGGGTAAATTTTAAGGTGGCCATTTTGGATTTTCCGTCCTCAAATTGTGTCGGTAAAGTCTTATTGTCAACTCATTTTCAGGATTACCATTCGACGGGATCACCCATTGGTGGGGACATTTTGTACACATTTGTGTTCTTGTTTCTTTATACAGTACAGTAAAAGTTGTGAATATTGAACATTTTTTTGCTGAGAAAAAAAACAAAAAACACAGAAAATGTATATTTTATGTTTATGGAACAATATTCAATCAGAATGATGGAATCAACTTGTTAATATCAAATATTAACAATCAATCATTGATATTATTATCACACTTTGAAAAATTGCTGTATTTTGGTTGTCTTGTTACACTACAGCTTCCCAGAGGCACCATTTGGTCATTACTTCTGTATATAATGTTTCCTTTTGTGCTCTAAGGTTTGCATTCTCCCTTGTCTATCCACTCTATATCATGATTATGATATTGCTGGCTTTGAGTATTACGCTAAGTGGTCCAAAAGTGACCATATTATTAAACTACTGGATTTGAAAACTTAAAAAAGACCAAGTGCAGTATGACAAGTGATTTTAGACAGTCATATCTTTCACCATGAGTACTTTCTGAGCATAAATACAGTGGTTTTTCTTAAAACAATATTTTTTCTTTCAAGTGAAGTACCCATGATTATAAAAATATCAATCGAACAATTCGAAAAATTATGAATAGGGACCCCATGTCAACATTTTTCTCAAAATATCGAAAGTCTAGTTTTAAAGATATCAATTTTCGATGACCAAAATGATGCTGAAAACAATGGATAGCACGAGTTTTCCCTATGGGAAAATAACATGGGATATGTGGTTTTTAACTTTAAAGCATTTCAATACGCATCCCCTTTTCAGAAAATATAGTGTAGAAGAAACTTTCGATATGTTTAAATTGAGAAAGACAAGATCCTCTTTTTAGAAAATAAGCCTAACATTTTTCAAAGAGTGCCAAGGTGGGACCCCAATCTATAATTTTTCAGAGAATTTGATTTATATTTTACTATCATGGGGACTTCACTTGAAAGAAAACATATTGTTTTAATAAAAACCATTGTATTTATGGCCAGAAACTACTCATGGTGAAAGGTATGACTGCCTAAAATCACTTGCCATACTGCACATGGACCTTTGTTTCATGACCTGAAAATAGAGTTCAAGGACTTAAAATGGCAAAATCCATGCAGGGAAGGGGATAATGTCAAAGAAAATATCATAGTAGATAATTTGATTTCTAGTGGATGGATTCTCTTCAAATGTGGTAGAAAGATGTTCATTGATGAACAGTTTTACGCAAAAATGGTATTTAGGATTCAAGGTACACACACAATTTTCCACAAATGTGTAAATTTTCCCAAATAATATGAGCCCAAAATATTCTAAAATTAAGACAATGATTTTATATTTAAAATGTTCGCTATAGATCTTATACTAACACGAATATTGATTATATGATAAAAACAACAATTGTTATTAGAAATGTAAGATATGGAACAGTTTGTTATTTATTTCCAGAAAGCCAATTGCAAAACATCCTTATGCATGAAGGAAATGATAACGATGGTACAGTCCTGCATCATGACACAGTGACTCAGATAGAGAGTGTCTCCAGAGATACCAATGTGGATAAAGATGACAGAGATATCCACGCTAATTATGAAGATGTGAAACCTTATCTTGATCATGAATTATTATCTGGTGCACAACGTCAAGCCACTTCAAAGGCTCCAGATACAGGTAATAATCCAATTTAGCTTTCAGCCTTTTTTAGCTGATTGTTGGTTGGTCGGTCAATCGGTTGGTCAGTCTGTCTATTCCTTTGTCCTGACTATTCATTTATCCTGTTTATTCCTTTATTCTGTCTATTCCTTTGTCCTGTCTTTTCCTTTATCCTGTATATTCCTTTGTCCTGTCTATTTCTTTGACCATCCATCCATTCACCCATCCTTATGTCAACAATTTTCATACAAATGAAATCTGCATGACTTTCCAGGGGTTCCAGGCTAGTTATATACATCATTTGATCCCCGCTCCTAATTTTGCCTTGTTTTGGAAAAATATGCCATTTTCATCATGTGAACCTACCAAATAGTGCCATAGTTTGATGTTTACTTGGATATGTTTCATTAATCCTCCAACTGCCATTTTTGATGTATCATGCTTTAAGGCTAATATGTGGTTATGCCAACTGTTGTCAAAATTATAACTTCTGCATTAAAAACTTGTGTAAAGATCAATAGAAAAGAATTAGATATAAAGACCTTAATGCCGGAATTATTTAGACAGATAATTAAGATATAGCGCAGTCAGATGTCCAGAAATGAGCCCTTTATAGTTCGACTTTTTCAGGAAAGCAACAAACTTGGCACAGTTGTAGAAACACTTGATCTGAGTGGAAAATGATTTCGGGGCAAGTGATCCGGAGTTGTCTTCATGGATTTTTTAGTCTCTGACCCCAACCCCTATCAGGCGGGGAGGGGGTACATTATAAAAAATAAATAAAAATGGTTGTGAAGTAAATTTTTTTAAATGACTTCATTTGGTGATTGCTCTGAGCCTTGAAATTGAGACAAACTGATTGTAGATGTGGTGTTTAGTGTGGAAAATGCATTTTGACTCAATTATCTAGCGTGAATTCATCTTTTAAAGGGTCAAATATGGGACATCAAGTACTGTATTTCAAGAATGCGATGTCTGATCATCTTGGAAAAATTCATACTAATAGGGGTATAAGTGTTCATCACAAATATAGAATATGGCTTGGGTAGCTCATGTATTTTTTGAGATAAAAATTATTGAAATTTGAATTTTTAAGCCCTTGCGGCCTAGGGGTAACCTTATTCTACCTTAATAATTTTTAAGATATGCCATGTATGGGTCTCATATGAGCTCAAAATGGTGCATCGAGTCTTGTTTTGTCAGATTATTTCTAACTGGATTGAAAAATGATTGGAACTTTTCAAAAAAAAAAAATTTTCATTATCGCTTCTGAAGGGCCAGGGGTAACCATATTTTACCTTAATAACTTTCAAGGTTTGTAATATATATATCCCAAATAAGCTCAAGATGGTGCATATAGTTCTGTTTAATCATAATACCTCCAATAAGATGTAGAAAATGATTGGACATTTCTTAAAATTTGAAATTTTCATTTTAGCTTATGATGGCCTGGGGAGGGGCTTATTTAACCTTGAACTTTTCTTAATTATGAGACGTATGCATCTCAAATGAGCTTAGAATTGTGTCATATACTCTTGTTTTGTCATATTATTCCTTAGGAGATGTAAAAAATTTGAAAAATGACATTTTTAGCTTTTGACAGGTCAGGGGTGATTTTATCATATATTACCATAATATAGAAGCAAAGGATGGAGTGAGTTTAGCAGCCCCGTCCCCATGACCGAGGCCATTGGCAGCTTTGGTCTTAAAGCATTTATGACCCACGCTGCAATAAACCATGCTGAGCTATTCTCAACCAATCAGCGAGCTTGAAGGAACAAGTGGTAAATGCGTGCACATTAATGATGCGATTTCGTCAGAGAAAATGACCATATAGAAAGCTGTCCTTATTTCGACAACAAACTCTGATTAGCGCAGTGAGTTCAGAGATTCATTGAAAATTGATAGAGTGAAGACGAAGCTCTCTTTTGAGAAGGAAAGTCGAATGAATGCAAAGGGTAGTAAGTCCAGTCACTTTAGCCTGATGGGGGGGGGGGGGGGGGGTTAAGGTGAGCTGCTTCTGTACAGGATTCTGTCAGTGAATAATGACAGTCAATGATTGGGCACAAGAATGCCAAATGTTATCACAATAATTTTCAAGATAAAATGATCTCAAAATGTGGAAAATAGTCTGTTTTTCACTTTATTTCTACTGAGATGATGATTAACAACAATTAGAAAATTCAGTGACACATTTAAATCTCAATCCATTAATTCCATTTTTCCATAGCAGTAGAATACAGATGTAATATCACATCCAATGATTGTATGAGAAATGGGGAGGATTAAACCGTTGGTCATGGGCAGGTAGATATTGATGTTTTCTCCCTTACCATATGCTATCCAAACTGACTTTTTCAGTTTTTAACATCACATATATGCCAGGATAACCTCATCAGTATCAAATGTAAGGAGTTTATTCTTTCGCTTTAAGGCAATGATTGAAGCAGTCTAACTGAAAATATTGAGAAATATCCTTGAATCTGCTTCTTCTTATAAGAGCAAGGTTGATGGCAGAACCTCACTGTTGGGCTAAAACATTGCATTGCCTCCTTAATTTATGTGGTCACTATCTTCTTTCCATCCATTTCAAGGGTTTCAGTTTCCTCCTTAGACTATCCTTGTTCCAGTTCCACAAGTCTCTCTAGAGCTGTTTTAAAGGTGGAACAATTAGTGCAAAGGGGCCATTCAACGATTATGGACCAGTGTCAAAATATATTCAAGTTTTGATATTTCATCAAGACTAACATATATGTTTATTTTTTTCCAAAGAAACCCCCTGGATGAACATTATTTCAGCTGATTCCTCTTGAAATGTTTTGGATCTTAAAAACCTATAAGTGGGACTCCCTTTATAGAAGCTTTGAACTGAATTTACACTTCTTAATGCTTAAATTGATAGTTTATCCATACATTTTAAGAAAATAGGTATGTCAAAGCCAAATATTGCCATGATAGCTCAGAAAAAGTAAAAAAATTGAATCTTCTACAGACCTTGTTGCCCCTTTAAGCTAGTGTCCTTGTAAACATCCCAGCTGACATCAAGGCAATGAACTATTTGCAAACTTTTACGTGGGTAATATCATATTTGCATAATCACCAAATTTTCTTTATATTTCACTGTTAGCATGTTTAACTTTACATGCCCTGTCTATTATTTTGGCATCTACTATGTAGCTTAGTCATTCAACTTTGATGTTAATGAGCATAGATACAAACAGCACAAAACTGGAACAGTGAGGAAAGTTATCCTAATATCCTACTAATTTTCTTCTGTGGAATTGGCAAGATTTCCTAAGATAGTTGGAACAAGAGGGAGCTGTTTTCCTTCCAGGCATCAAAACTGAAACCCTGGAGGAAGATGGCAAGAAGATAGTGACCTCACAATGAGGTAATGCAATATCTTAGCCCGATAGTGAAGTATCTGCCATCACCATTCACTCATATGAAGAAGCATGCCAAAGACTGCTTCTGTCATGACCTAATAAGAATCATAGTCAATACAGTTGATTTTGATGTGGTTTAAACTGGCAGTAACTTGTGCTGAAAATATTATTTGAATTGCATATGGCCTATGGTGAGGGGAAATTCCTCCAGTATGTATGACCTGCCTTAGATATTTCAAGGCCACTTGGCCATGAACGAAGTTTAGCCCTTACCATTTTTCATACAATCGCTAGATGCATTCTGCTACTACTCTTAGTCAACTGATTTGCAGGAATAGAGGTTACCCAGAGGTTACGCAAGTGTTCTTAAGCTTTAAATCTTTTTTGATACCCTAAAATTAGAAGACTAGAGTCCTTATTCATTCTGATGCATTCTTACCCACAGTTTTTATCACCACATGAATGTGGCTGGACTACTCCCTCTGCTGATACTGAGGCCACAACATAAAATGTAGGTCATGGAGTAGATACCTGTGTCAAGAGAACAGATGCAAATGTTTATTATACTGTATTAATATACAGAATCTTAACAATGCTACTACTCGTGCGAGTATGAACTGGACTTATCAAACATTTTCATATCTTAGAAAATGTTCTATAAAACTAGATAGTATTGCCATTGGTACTAAAAAGGAATAAATAGCTGTTGAGGTTCATTTTTATAATTATAATTGGTAATCATTATTGTATATCTCAGTAGCAATAATATGACAAAACTAGACTATATTCACTATTTTGAGCTCATTTGAGTAGACAATATGATATATCTTTGTTTAAATTTTTAAGGTAAAATTAGGTCATTCGTGACCTATCATAAACTACACTACCAATCTCAAACTGCATCAAACAGCATGGTTTCATAAACAGTGCTGTAAAAACAGTACTGAACACAGCTGTTTTCTAAAACAGTACTGAGCTGTAAAAACAGTACTGTACTACGCTGTCCAAAACAGATGGTGTTAGAATAGCATTGTACATTGCTATATAGTGCAGTACTCTGACTGCACTGTTCAGTACTGTTTACAGCGCTGCAAGAAGATGTTGCGGATTGGGGGTGTAATATGAAAATGTCATTTTCTTATAATTTCCAATCATTTTTTCACTCCTTGGGAATGATATGATAAAACAGGACTAAATATACCATCTTAAGCTCATTTGAGGTGACTATGTCTCATATTTAGAAAATTATTAAGGTAAAATAAGGTTACCCCAGGGCCATCAAGAGCTTGAGTGAAAATTTTGATTTTTTAGTTATATCTGATCATTTTCTCCATCTTATTGGAAGAAGTATGATAAAACAGAACTATATGCAACATCTTGAGCTAATTTGAGATGCATATATTACATATCTGGGAAATTATTAGGGTAAAATATGGTTACCCCTGGCCCTTTAGAACCGAAAATGAAAATTTGATTTTTTTTTAATTTCCAATAATTTTTTTACATTTAATTAGGAATAATATGACAAAACAATACTAAATGCAACATTTAGAATTCATATGAGGCCCAAACATTGCGTATCTTAAAAATTATTAAGGTAAAATAAGGTCACCCCTAGGCCGCAAGGGCTTAAATATCCATATTTCGATAATTTATTTCTCAAAAATTACATGAGCTACACAAGCCATATATCATATGAGTGATTAACACCTATATCTCTATTAGTATGAATTTTCTCAGGATGATCAGACATCACATTCTTGAAATACAGTACTTGATGTCCCATATTTGACCATTTGAAAGATGAATTCACGCTAGATAATTGGGTTAAAATGTATTTTCCTTCCTAAACACCACTTCTAAAATAGTTTTTTCTCAATTTCAAGGCTCAAAGCAATCACCAAATGAAGTCATTTAAAGAAAAATACTTTACAACTATTTTTATTTATTTTATTATAATGTACCCCCTCCCCGCCTGATAGGGGTGGGGGTCAGAGGCTTACAATCCATGAAGACAACCCCGAATCACTTGCCCCGAAATCATTTTTCATTCAGATCATATGTTTCTACAACTGTGCCAAGTTTGTTGCTTTCCTGAAAAAGTCGAACTACCAAAGGGACATCTGACTGCGCTAATATAACACCGTCCCAGTAATAGAGTATGGATGGCAACTCAGAAAAAATAAAAATATGGAGACCAAATTTAATGGTCGGCACAGAACCTTAATGTTATATCATATTGCTCCTCCATTTCTTGATTTTCTGGAAAACATAAAATTTAATGACCACTCATCTTTTTTTTAATTTAGATTTTGGACTAAATCAACTCAACAGTAATCAATGATTTTTCACATTAAAAACATAAATATAAATGTATCACAGTTTTATAAGTTGTAACAAAAATAGTGTAATGGACTTTTACTCACATTTACCCTTAAATGGTTAGGGGGAGGAATTTTTTTGAAAACTTTTTTGGTCTGAAACTTTCTGGCTTTTCTTTAAATTGAATTAGGAATGTTCTAGCGAAAGAAGTGTGACTCTAACCCCCCAAGGAGGGAAATTAGAGTTGTTCAAAGTTAGTAAAATACCCAAATTGTTAGTAGTTTTGACTTAAAACGATAAACCCTTATGTTCTTAGGATATGAATTTCTTAATCAATAATGGATCAATAAAGTTATAAGTAAGCTCAAAATAACCTTTCCAATGATACCTAATACACCCTCCTATGATTGATCATATTTTCACATTCCAGAGCTCTACAAGGTTTACTGTTTCGGACAAAATTCATTGACCCCTTTTGGTAAAGTACCAGACAAAAGGCCAGGACAAATCATGCAGGGCAGTAAGACATTTTGTAATCTGTGCAATAAGAATTTCAGAACAATCCAGATTTTTCAGAAGCATAAACAAAAATTCAAACACTTTAAGTGTGATATATGTACAAGCAGCTTCATGCAGGAAATTGACCTGATGAGTCATTTGATGAGTTCACATAAGATCAATGTTAAATGTGGTTTATGCAACAAAAAATTGAAATCTGTATTTGTAATGAGGAATCATTTAAAGAGGTTCCTGCACTTTAAGTGTACTCTTTGCTCAAAGAGTTTTGAAACAAACAAACAACTGGCCATACATTCCATGAAGCATAGTCTGAAACCATACACATGTAGTCAGTGTGGACAATTATTTACTCATGAAGAAGATTTGAACACCCATTTCAATTCTACTCATAGATTAACTTGTGAACGGTGCTCTGAAGTTTATACTTCTAGACAAGATTTAAGAACTCACATCAGATCTAGCCATGAAGAGAGACAAGATTTAAGAACTCACATCAAGTCTAGCCATGAAGAGAAACAATTTGTATGTACATATTGTACGAAATGTTTAGCAAGCAAATCCAGCCTGAAAGTTCACTTGAGAATCCATACTGGAGAAAGACCATATCAATGTGATGTATGTTCAAAAACCTGTATCAGTAAAAATCGTTTGTATAATCACAAAATGCGAAGTCATATGGGTAAGACATTCATATGTGCTGATTGCAACAGAGCATTCAGTACCATATATAGACTCAACTTACATAGAAGAAGACACACTGGAGAAAAACTCATCCAATGTCAATATTGTCCAAAAAAATTCCTAACAACTCAACAATTGGAAAATCATATTCGAGTTCACACAAAAGAACGCCCATTCATGTGTGAATATTGTTCAAAATGTTTCGCGCAAAAGTACAATTTAACCACTCATAGGAGAAGAGTACATTTAAGAGAGAAACCATATAAATGTGAAGAGTGTTTAAAACGATTTACTCAAAAAAGTGAGCTTAAGAGCCATATGAAGATACATAGAAACACTGGAGAGAAACCTTACAAATGTGAAGAGTGTTCAAAATGTTTTAGTTGGCTAAAAAGCTTATATCTTCATAATAAAAAAATACACAGTGATGAAAAATTATTCAAATGTGAACAGTGTTTGAAACAATTTGCTCTAAAAGATCACCTTAAGAGACATATGCGATTACACACGAAGGAATTCCAGTGTGAGCAATGTTCAAAATGTTTTGAACATGAAAGTAGTTTGGTAGTTCATAGACGGCTTCACACTGGAGAGAAACCTTACAAATGTGAACATTGTTTAAAATGTTTTAGATTGCCAAAAATCTTATATCTTCATAATAAAAGAATGCACAGTGATGAAAAATCATTCAAATGTGAACAGTGTTTGAAACAATTTGCTCTAAAAGATCGCCTTAAGAGACATATGCGATTACACACAAAGGAATTTCAGTGTGAACATTGTTCAAAATGTTTTACATGTACAAAAAACTTATATCTTCATAAAAGAGTACACATAAATGAAAAACTATTCAAATGTGAGCATTGTCCTTCACAATTTAGACTTAAAACTTCATTAAGAAAACACTTAGCAATGCACACAGGAAAATATAAGTGCAAAGTATGTTTGAAGTGTTTTGAAATGAAAAAGGAACTTTTGCTGCACGCGAAAACTCATTTTGAAGAGAAAGTCATAAAGAGAAGTGTTGAAAAGAAAAAAGTCACGTGTGAACATTGTTCTAAGGTTTTTTCTCAAAGGCATTGTCTCTTAAAGCATCTAAGTATTCATACTGGTGAGAAGCCTTTTCAGTGTGAATTTTGTTCACGGTTCTTTAGACAGTTGTTTACATTGAAGGTTCATAGAAGGATTCATACTGGTGAGAAACCATTCAAATGTGAATATTGTTCAAAGTCTTTCAGGGAAAGGGTACAGTTGAGAAACCATAGGAGGATTCACACTGGAGAAAAACCATTTAAATGTGAATTCTGCTCAAAATGCTTTAGAGTTAAGGCATCATTGAGAATACACAGAAAAACACATACTGGTGAAAACTTCGCTGAGGTAATGAATGTTTTCAACAAAAATCCATCTTGATCAATCATGTGAAGATGCATACCATTGTTTATGATAAGAATATTGTAAATCTATCAGATTTTGTCAATTTGGATAAATGCCCAAGACAAAGTTAACTGTTAATAAATTAAATTAACGAGTTTATCACATAAAGAGAGTTGAAAGCCAACAAGAAACATTTTACCTGCTCAAAGAACTCATTTGGCTCATAGTGAAAAACTTTTTTATATGAGGTCAATTTTGTCATGTTACAGCTGTTGTATGTAAAATAAAGAATAGGTATGCTATACTAATATTATGTTTTCTCATCTTTTTCTTTCTTGTTGCTCACTGTTGATCTCTACATTTTTACATTTAATACCATATATCCAATTTTTGTTTTACAATTAATCAGTTCATTGATACCTGTACTTAACAGGCTTGGGACACTTCTTTATACTAGATGTAGTAACTAATCACATATACAACTTGGTAAAAATAAGGTATTCTCAACCCCCAAGTTTTTTCCATATCATGCAGTTTTCACCATTTTGAGCACTTTTTAGTGATTTTGGCCATTTTTGGACAAAATTGTCAAAAGTGAACCCCCCTCTGGAAATTTCCAAAAAGTGAACCACCCTTGGCAAATCCTGGCTACAGGCCTGTTACATTACTAATAATGTACACTTTAGAAGAACTACATGTAGGGAAGCATTTTGGATCAAAGAATTGTCTTCCCTTCCCCCTAATGTTTTAAATTTCATTTCTGGAATGTGATAATATTACAATATTTATAACAATGGTTGTTCTGTAATAGTTAACTTCATAATCAACTTGTCAAATATCTGTATTCATATTGCATAATAATAACCATACTGTATTGTGTTTCAAAGGTAAGATTGTTGTCAGTTGCTTGCAGGCCCGTAGCCAGGATTTGCCAAGGAGGGGGTTATAATATAATATAGTTTTTCATTTAGTTGAGCATCTCCGATATATTTCTACCTATTTCGGCAACGACCATACTGCTAAGCTTATGTGTTCATAGGCGTAGCGACGGGTGCACCCTCCCCCATAACCAATAAAAATAGAACCATGAGATAGAAGAAGAGCTTTAAAATGCTTTTTATTTGAAGTTTCTAGCTCAATTTTTGTTTAATTCAAAGTAACTTTTATTTTTTGGTTTGTTTACATTCACTGATCAATTAAGACTGGCATTACTGGGCATTATTTTTCAAAATTTGGGACCACCTTTTTTCTCCGCGGGGACATTTTTGTGCCCCTTCCCCTGTGGATTTTCAGGATACTTATTTGTGTTTTGTTAACAGTTAAATATACGCTTCACAAGCGGATCAATGGAGGGGGGTGGGGGTGGGGACGACATGGGCCCTCAACCCCCATAGGATGGCCCAGAAAAAATGTTTTAGGGCCCCAAAATTTTGTAGCGCTTCATTAGTGGGCCTTTTATAATGTAGTCCATATTGAAATGGACAATAATTTGTCCTTTGTGATGTTTCAAATCACATGCATCAAGCAATAAAAAGTTAACGTGTAACAAATTAGGACGTCTTCGTGTGTTTACGTAATACATCAATGAATGTATTCTCATGAGCTTTGTGCACTGTTTCAGTTTTCTACAAATCTATAATGACCACAAAATTGTGGGATCAATATTAAGGTAAGGCTATAAAATGTTTGACAAAGAGATTAAAATACCTCTAGTTAAACCGGATTAACCTTCCTTTTTGGATCCATACTGGACATTACATGTCAATGTCCGGTTATTTTAGAATAGTAAAGGACCAAACTTATGAAGTAATTAGAATTCATAATTATACCTGTATACATTTATATACGTTGTACCCTTTACAATAGAATAAGGTTATGTTTTTGGGAGCTTCATCTATGATTATGAGACGACGGAATTACTTGAATTACTCTTGGGACCCCACATCATCGACACTAGGGGTAGATGAGTTTATACGACTTCGTGTTTTACATCCTGAAAAAAGTACGCCCAAGCTTTGTTTTCCGAGGATCCTGGACTGCTACTCAACGTAAATGAGTCCTGTCTAGCTACTATCGATCCTCTCCCAATATACAAAAAACACTCATTTAAAATTTTAAAATATATTTAATTAATAAATCTAATATTCACAGGTTACATGAACGAGTATATTCTGCTAAGTTTATGTACAGTCCTTTGCCAAGATGACAGACTAAGAGTACCCTGTATGTAGAAATTTAAATGCTGTTCAATATACCGAGACAGAGGTATATATTTTGTACATGAATGCAGGCTGTATTGTAATGTGTTAATGTACCATAGTCCATTTTGGCCCTATCGTGGATAAATGGTCAATCGGAAGAATTGTGGACGTGCCGCTGTGCACATGAACTTACTAGAGTACATTTATATTTATCCTGATGTAACGTTTTACTTACACTCCCCTCCATAAGATTGGCGACTAGAGGTCCCCATTTGGATAACTTATAAGGGCCTGTTGATGTTTGATTTAAATCAATTCATTAAGTCATACATTTCCGAACTACACTGATATAAAAGAACACGATTTAAGATTGATACTGACCAGGTTTAGTCGCGAGGAATAAGTCACCCCCCTTATATCCCTCTATATTAAAATAAAGGCTATAGAATATAAGAGCAGAGGGGGGGGGGGGGTGACTTACTCCCATGTGTTTAGTATGTTATCAAATTTTAACTGATTGTTGCCAAAATTATAGAGGGAAGTGTATTATAAACTGGTATAAATGTCCAACTTCATTTAAATAATTATACAGATTCAGAACTTAATCAAATTCTGAATCAAAACCAGTTTGAGCCGTGTACAACTTGGGATACAATAATCCATATGGGACCACTATTTCCGCCTTTACAGGATATGATGCACTTTGAGCAGATTATTGCAGTTGAAATTCTGCACATTTCAATTTTGAACATCAGCAACTTTATCAAACTGTCAAATGTTAACCTAAATTACTTGCTAAATTCACTTTAACGCAGTATTAAACTTCACAACAAAGCTAGTAAATAATATAAAGACGTGAGAGAAAAATATTTAGGTACGAGTGAATGAATAAATCAGCCATCTTAAAATTAAGACTTAATAGCATTAACGAATTGGAAAACTGCGAACGTTAATTACTATATCCCATATACTTATTTGATTACGTAATTATAGTTACAGTGTTTCTGACACCGTGTTTAGCTGGATTAGCATCTACCCGGTGAGATGTTTAATTTCACTAATGGCGTCGTAATCTTATAATGTTAACATTCACAGCGTCTGCTTATGGATTTGGTCATGGGGGTCGTTGTCCATTAATAGGATTATACGCACATCAAATACTGATTGCTTTTTGCCGCTGCGGTTGCATCGTTTTTCCCATTTAGCCACTTGTTTCAGTTCATGTCACCCCCAGTATGTGGGTCGAAAGCGAAATCATGACAGGTGGATGTATTTTAACGTTTTTTCACTATACATGTACACGTATAATAAAATTGGACACTGAAGAAAAGTTTTAGCTGCCACGATGTCGTCATTCTGATACTCATAGCATCTTTCTGTTTCACCCGAAAGGGCTGAAAAGAACTAAGATGATGCCATGGTGTATCATGATGCGGAGTCCCAAGAAAGTTTCAACATAATGTTTCTACAGCTAATGGTCTAGATCATAAAGTTCGATGTGGTTCATAAATACACATGAGCATAGCAGGAATTTCAATATGGTTGTAGCTCATTGTGGTTAAATCCTATTGAGCGTTAATGTATTCAAATTCAATACATTCTTTAGTATTGAATGGCATATTTGAACAGTGCTCGAATAACATGCGACTTACTGGTACACGAAAGGTCATTTAACGACGAACTATTCAACGTGTAGTTTTTAGGGCAGTGGTCACTGCAGTCATATTTCCCGCTGAATATGCCCTTACATCATACGGGTCTTAATTACATCATACGGGTCTTAATAATCATATTTAATCGATATGCCTGTCATATTCCGTTACCAGCATCTGCGGAAAAGCGTTGATTGTGATAAATATTTCTTGTTCGAAATACAGTCCATCTTATGCTTTTGGAAACGTTTGCAGATAGCCTCAGCAGATTTAAAGTACCATCTAGCATTCGAGCAAAAGCCCCACACCGTCTGTTGACCATCTGTGGAGCTTTAGAACATATACATGAGAATTCCCAGGCACACCTTTGCATTGGATCTGATTGTATATGTACATTCCAATATATATTACACTGTGTCTTTGATTCTGTTTCGTACGAGGTAAAAGTTCAATTCAAGACTACAGACCCTATGTTCTCGTCATTTCCTGGGCCTGTTCGGTTCCTTCTTTTATTTGGAGATCTTTTTTCATGGATCCAACAACGTTAGCGCCTCCCTTCGCCTCTATCTCTCTCGCTTCTTGAATGATGGAACAACAGGGTAATACGGTGGAGAATATGACATCTTCGAGCAAACTCCCCTCGATGCCTAGTCGTTCTCGTAGTCTCCATCGGTTAATGGGGGCAATCGCGGTGAATCCAACACAAAATAGGGCTCCCATGATGAGGCAGCTTTCTCCGAGATACTCTGCATTTTTGCCAACGGTATAAGCGGGGCAGCAAAAGGTCAAGAGGCAAAGCTTGAAGTCGCCGAAACAACCGAGCAAACCATTTTGAAAAGCAGCCATCGTCGTGTGAAATATGTCGAAAATGTAAGAAATCAATATGTCACTACAGTCAGAACCCTGATCCTGAAACTATATCCAATCGATTGAATGTCCAACCTGTATCGCCCACTCCAATATCTTATATGCGGAATGTATTCAGCAGGCTGTGTACGCTATCGTTGAAAATGCAAGACTGCGCTAAGCCCCTACTGCATTAAATTCCCAGTGTAAATACGAATTGCTCCAGTGCTTACTAGGTTGGGTAGCATGTGTATTAAAATTAGAAATACAAGTATGGCTTTTATAATTTCATGAATTTGTGGCCCGCTTCGAAGACCAATCACAAAGGAGGTTGCGTGTATTTCTATAAGCCTTATTGTTTGGGTACCGGATGACCGCGTAGGTTTATAATAACCCTGTATTTACATACACGGCATCCTTGCTGCAAGGGTATTTTACAAGTATATACCCTTGCTTCTCTCTATTCAATTGTTGGGCTTGAGCAAACAAACTGGACATTAAACAATATAAGCCTACACCACATACCCTAAGAGAACTACTACACACAGTGTACAAGGGTAATTAAAATCCTGTTGAATGGTCCACAAAGCTGTCTTTATACTATAGTGGTATGCCCTTACATATCTTATGACTTAGAAGTTTGTAATCTTTACCACAAAAATCTTAGGATCTATAAAAATATTAGCTTAAGAATAAAACATCATCCGTAGAACATTCTATAGTATGTCCAAAATTAAAATATTTAACAATTTCACGAAAAAGAAAAAGAATACTGCAAAAATAAGGTGGTTTGAAGAGACACAAATGGTAAGATTATTCATAAGTTCCAGGAAATGAGACATGTAATTGGACAATTTGCACAACGCATATTCTGCGTTGACCACTAGGAAACTCAGCTTATATAAGGCCCCAAGAATGAAACTACCTGGGCTTGAGTGAAGGGCTGAATTTAAGCATAAATGAAGTCCTTTGAAGAAGGATGATACACGGCGCCTGCGAGCTCATTGCAAACCTGAAGCTGGTATGAATGAAAAATGCATCGATCAAAAAGGAGGTTGCACAAACATTGAGAAAATATAGTAAAATTTGACCCAATAAAAATACGTATTTTCATGAATGAAATCTTACAGTATTTAAAAGAGGCATACAATGATTAAACCTAAGAGCTTTGAACATGGAAGACTGGCGCAAAAATTCACTCGTTGGCATGTGGCTCGCTTGCCTTCAAGTTCATAAATCATGAAATCTTAACTTTTTCTAGTCTTGCTCAAAGACTGTATACACCCCCCCCCCGTCAGCTTCACTCTCTTGAAAACTGTCCTAAAACTACTATACTAAAGACAATTTCAATGTTTTGTTTTCGTCAATATGACATTAGAATCTAAAAAATAAGGAATCAAGAGACAACTGCATTGTAGACGGGGTAATAGCATATCAAAAGTTGAGCAATATTATGATGATTGTGTATGGTACTGTATGTTATTATTATAAGGGATAAAGTAATCATTTTGCAGAGATTAATGCGTAGACAACTTTACATACACGATTTTAAGACGAAACCCCAAAATTGTAGGAAAATTGTTCATTTACAAATACTTTTAATTAAGGCGTGCTCATTAATAAACTGTGCACATTTAAAGCTGTATGCTTCTACACCCTTTTACTTGGTGTATTCGACTCGATTTTTTATACACCTTCCATGGCCTTGCAAGGTGTACAGGACCGTAGCCAGGGGGGGGGGTGGGGGGTTCGCAGGGATCGGGCACCCCCCCCCCCCCTTGGCCAAAAATTCTTTCAAAATCATGCAGTTTTTCACCATTTTGAGCACTTCTCAAGTGATTTTAGCCATATTTGTGTCAAAATTGTCAAACTGAACCCCCCACCTTGGCAAATCCTGGCTACGGGCCTGGTGTATTTTTATCAAATTCGTACAAAGTGAGAATTTTTGGACAACCCTCGTGTACATGTATTACTTGAATCATTTTTAAATCACTGGTTTCGGCAACAGGGAGACCTTTACTTCGTGGACATTGGCTCGCGACCGTGTCCCGATAATTACGTCTATCTGGATAAGAATCAAATAGTTAAACATAATGTTAAAGGCCATACTATTCATTGAGCCACATTCCACAGTCATGTAGTAGTACACACTGTAAAGGAACGGTAAGTGACCAATCTCCCGATGGGGAGATTTGGTCGGTTGGGCCATGTCCTTACGTGTCAGTCATGCGACAGTCATGTCAAGGCTTCTTACTTTGTGTGTTTTACAGATTACTCCCGAGATTAGGAAACGCCGTCATCTCCCACTCAATCCCGGTACTCAATCAACGCATACAACGTGCATTCCGTTAATCCCAAACAATAACTGTGTTAAGGATTTGCAGCTTGCCATATGGAAGCTGCTTATTTTTGAAATGGATAAACGAAACCTAAATATGAATAGTACAAACCCAGCCCCAACTCAAACCATGTGTAAAAGCGTTTTATTTTCTGAATAGATAGGAAATAATATTTGTTGTTTGAATGTTTCTTAAAACTGACCATTGTACCAACATATTTTTTTCTAATAGTGTAGGTGGCATTGCAAGGTAGACGAATTGGCATTGTACTTCATCATTAGGGCCACACGATACATGACTGTGTAACACCCCTCCTCCATTAATTCAGTTTCTGATTTGAATTGCTTCATCTTTGCACGATCGGTGTTCTCACGGACGGGAGCCAGGTGAACGAAGATGCAATTGCTATGACAATGACTATGATTAGCCCCCGGGATTAGCCTATGCTCTATGATGGTCTCGGGGTAGCTGGAGAACCATGAGCTTTCAACTAACTTAATTAAAAGCCCATGGTAGAACTCAGGAGAAACCACCTACCGCGAAATATTTTGAATACTATAAATCAGAAAAATCACTTGTGCATACACGACTTAACATTTATACATTGTGAAACAGTTACACATCCATGTATAATTGCGCGTGTGCTTGATACCGTGTAACAGATAAGGGATTGCGTGTAGTTGTATATGACGCATCATACATTTTGATATACCGTTCTCTGGTTAGCCCTATACACGTATACATATACACTGGCGGATCTGGGGGGGGGGCAGGTCCCAATTTTTGGGTTTTAGGGGCCACAAGTTTTTTCTCAGACCTGAAATTTGCCCCCCCCCTTGTTGGTTCCCAGATGCGCCCCTGATATATGTATATAAATCAAACTACATGATGTTTAACCAAAATCCACAAGCGAGAATTGTATTTTAACGATATTAATATTTAACAGCGTGATCACATAAGCATTGCGTGTGATAACATAAACATTGCGTGGTGACATTGACTGAATGCCAACAGAAACAAACTTTTAAGATTTAATCAAAATTTTGCCAGTGATAAAATATTTGAAAATTACATAAACATAAAGGATTTACCCCTGGATTTACCTGACTTGTCTGGTAACAAAGTAAATGAGAGAAATTTTGGACAAGGCACGTAGTGGGGACAATATATACGCAGGGGCGTAGACAGCTTTCAGTCAGCGGGGTTGCGATCGATTTCGGTTTTCAGTCAGGGGGTGCGATTGTGCCATAAACAAGCCAAAAAATGAGATTTACAAAAAGTGATGGAACTTCCTTCTAAACTGAGCTAGAAGCTTCAAATAAAAAGCATTTTGAAGCTCTTCTTTCGCATGGTTTTATATTTGTTGGTTATGGGGGGGGGGGAGATCGCACCCATTGCCCCCTGGCTACGCCTATGTTCTTTTCTTCATCCTACATGTATGTATGATTCAAGAAAGGCCAACTTCCATCATCATGCCTAAAAACTATAAATCTATATTTTAATATCAATCTTTATCAAAGACACCCCTCATATAATATCATGAACCAACAAGGGGGGAGGGGCCCAAATTTGAGGTCCGAGAAAAAAATTTAGCGCTTGCGCGGAAAAATGTTTTGGGCCCCTCAAACCCCAAAGTGGGCCCAAATTTTGAAATTTTGAGGCCCATTTTCTTCAAAATTTGGCCTGAAATTAAAAAATAAGGCCTTAAAAGGCTCAATAATGGGTTTTGGTGAAAAAAAATTTTGGGACCATTTTTTTCTGGGCCCCAAGGCCCCCACCCCCAGATCCGCCAGTGCCCATTTACCTAGCTTCTGGGACACACTGTATATTACGCTGCGCGCAGAATCTAGTTATAAACTACGAAGCTTTCTTTTGAGAAGCGGAGTCGACGAATGCAAATGGTAACTGTACGTATAGCTATAGCAATAGATATTATTTTCTTACTTAGATTTTCAATGGGCTTTAAATTGATGTTCATTGATCAAGCTTAACTTTAATTGCCAGTATTTTATGAGATATAAAATTTGAACGATAGGCAGATTTTGAAGTGATCAGATTTTTTTATATCTACAAAAATGTACTGTAAAGCATGCAATATTCAAATGTTTGGGAATTACCAATTGACTTTAGTTCCCAATCATTGGACATGTTGGAACAATAAAATCAATCATTTGCCACATGCTGATATATTGAATAGACTCATTAGTGAATTACAGATTACAGATGCTTGAGACCATCATAATTTTATGTTAGTCTCAGCAGATGCTAGCGAAATAATAGTAATACAAAATGTCACCACCAAGTTGCTCACAATATTGTTACAGACGCCGATGGCCAACCACGGATCGCCAACCTCGTCACAAAAACGGAGACCGTAACAATATGTCTGGCGCATAGCCGTAGGCAGCGGGGGTTCGGTGGGTTCGAACGAACCCCCGGTCAGGATTTCCCAAAATATCATTTTGTGGAAAAATGCATATAACCAGAAACATTAAATTACTACATGCTATTTGAAAACTAGGCATAGGTTTATATGACCAGTAAATAAATTGATATTTGTTATGGTGAACACGAGAGCCTTATTTTGTTAAAACACATGTCATAGTGAAGTTACACTTCCTTTAAAACGTTTTGCAACCTTAGGCATACGGGGTGAGATTAAATTTTGGGCCCCAGAGCATGGTATTTAGAAATAACAATAATTTCGCACAATTAACTTAAAAGCTGCTTTTTCTCGGACAAAATAACCCATCTTGGGCAATAGCTAAATCAGTCCTCTGTAGGAATTTTGTTTTAAGCCAGTTCTGGTCCAATACGAAGTTATTGAAAGTTATTGAAAACAATGCAGACGTCCCATACTCCGAATGATTTTTACAACATTTACGAATAAATATCTGGAATAGTCGTAATATTGATGAAACAAATGTTCTTTCAAATGTGTACATCTCTGTTTTGTTTTATTTCAATTACAATTTAAAATATTTCTTGGAACAGCCCCTGGGGCTGGCAAGTACCCCAAACCAATTGCAGAAAATTAATTAAAAACGTTGTGAAATGAATTATTTAAAAGCGTATATCATTTATAAATTCAAGCATTTGTTCAAATTTATTCATTCTTTCATTTGTTCAGTATTAATTTATCCATCACTTTTTCAAAGAAAAATCAATCATTGCAAAAAATGATTTTTTCAGATACACTCCACTCATCTAAGATATTGTATAGAATTCAAATTGTTATCGTTCCATTTTACTTGCTCTCCATTTTCATGTTAATGTCATGATATGTTTAGCGAATAAATTACATAATAAAAAACATTGAAAAATCATATGGACTATTAATCTTCAAATAATGAAGGCCTAATTTATTATCAAGCCGTCTGAACTTAACAAAATACGTTTTATATTCGAACAGTCGCTTGTATATGATTTATATCCACCAAAACGTTTTTATCATCAGTTGCAGTTGATCTGCTCCAGGGGACGTGCCACTGAGCTCCGGGGACGTCCAAAGAAATATTTTAAACTTTTTAAAACAAAGCATAACGGAGACCCACTAATTTTAATGACAGATGTTTTCATCATTAGTACGACTACCCCGGATAGTTTAAAAATCATTCGCGTAAACGTTCTTTCGGAATTTATAGGGTGTTTGCCGCTTGCCTTGCATTTGATCCGAACTGGCTTCCAACAAAATTCCTGCAAAATAATGATAAGCCATTGCATGAGGTGATTTATTTTGTCCTAGATGAAGTAGCTTAAGTTAAAGAATAAATTGTGCGAAATAGTTGATATCCCTTGGTAACAAAACATGCTCAAGGGTCTTCCAGAAATCAGACGAAATAATGGTGGATTCGAGGCGAATCAGATTTCAGGATATATATTTCACCCTTGGTATACGCAGCTAACGAAAATTGACCGGTACGGGTCAAAAGCTGGACCGGTACGGGTTAACGGTTTTATTTGAATTTAAAATAGCCATTAGTTGCTCAATATTGACTTCCTCGTGTCTAATTTGAAATATATGATGCCTCCCGATGCTTTTAAGTACCCCAATTTTTTACAGATTTTTAAACGGACCAAAACTCTCTAAATGCGCATTTATGCTCTTTTCTCTCGAGAACGACTGTCTCATTTTCACGATAACTTTTATTTAGTACTTCTAACATATAAGATCTCCATGCTATTTACATCTTGTGAGTTTCAATGACGTGCGTTTGATTTTATAAAAAATGCCAAACTTTGTGACAAAGAATTTCATCCTGCGTGCAGCGAGAAGACGGACCGGTTCGGGGCAATCTGCTTGCAGCGAGAAGACGGAGCGGTTCGGGGCAATAGCTGATGAAATTCTTTGTCACAAAGTTTGGCATTTTTTGTAAAATCAAACGCGCGTCATTGAAACTCACAAGATGTAAATAGCATGTCATTTACATCATACCTTGATGGGGAAAAATAGATCTTATATGTTAGAAGTACTAAATAAAAGTTATCGTGAAAATGAGACAGTCGTTCTCGAGAGAAAAGAGCATAAATGCGCATTTAGAGAGTTTTGGTCCGTTTAAAAATCTGTAAAAAATTGGGGTACTTAAAAGCATCGGGGGGCATCATATACTAGTATTTCAAATTAGACACGAGGAAGTCAATATTGAGCAAGTTATGGCTGTTTTAAATTCAAATAAAACCGTTAACCCGTACCGGTCCAGCTTTTGACCCATACCGGTCAATTTTCGTTAGCTGCGTATACCAAGGGTGTATTTAGTAAAAGATTCACCGAAACATATTTTGAGGCAGAAAATTAATTATAAGTTGTCTGACTTTTTTGCACGTTGCCTGTTTATTTTACTTTGTGAACATTAAAGTTACAAAGCTACACGGTCATTTTTGAAAATCATTTTTACGTCCTGTGTTATTTCAATGAGAGAGGTTTCTTGATAAAGCCTATCACTTTCAGACTTTGCTTAACGTAAATAAAGACATCATTTTGATTGATAAAATTCAAATTCAATTGTCTACTTAACTTAATGAAGGTATTAAAATGAATTATATTTCCCCTCCCAAAGTTTTTTCGTAACAAATTATGCATATAAGAATTCAAACTTAAAGATGCTTTAATACATAATCCAATGGCTGAGTTAGGATTGCCAAACTTTTGGAGTGAGTGTAATTGTACAAATTGCACAAAAAGGTTTTTATTTGAGGAACCCAAATGAAGAGGGGGGGGGGGATTTTTGAATAACATGAAAATAGAAGCGTCAACACTTTTTGGTGGTATCATAAAAATAGCATGTTACTTGTTAATACTGATATAGTTGTTAAACAAGAACTGAGCATTTCATGATGAAAATAACCAGGTAGTTGATTTTATCCAAGAAGAACATGTGATCCTGAAAATGCCTCAGTCACATCTGTTCTACGGCAACCGTACAGCAGTCATAGCTTCCCAAAGTCAAAAGAAATATGCAGCATGAAATATAGGGATAAGCAGCAGAGTGTGGATTTTCTTTACTGTATCCAATATCAATTTTTTAAAGCTACGGCCGCCAAATGTGACTGATGCTTTAATGAGCTGAGAGGTCACTGGTATATAGACATTAGACCTAGTATGCCATCTATCAATACATTATTTCATTATACTGAATAAAGATTTGGTCATAGAGAACATATTCTATTCATCTCATGGTTGAATTTAAATGCTTTGCAGTTCAATTATAAAATGCATATTTTCAATCTAACATCTTTCCAAAATCAAACCAAAATGACACAAATTTTCAAAATCTCATCAATACTCTTTGTTATTTTTCCGAAATACACAATAAAACAAATATAGTAACTATCAATGTAAAATGTCTCATTTTCCTATCACAGTTATAGATGCAACATCTTTGGTTCTCTTTCTTTGTTACCCTTTTGCAATAGTGCACTGTCCTAGGCTCTAACATTCAGTGCAGTGGATGAGAAGATTCAGAGGATTCTAGTCATCAAGATCATATTTCATGATGAACTCAAAGTCTTTGTAACTTATCCTGCCATCGCAGTCTTTGATGATTCTGAGGATTCTAGTCATCAAGATCATATTTCATGATAAACTCAAAGTCTTTGTAACTTATCCTGCCATCACAGTCTTGATCGAGCTCTCTAAAAAAGTAAAAGGAAAAAAATATGTGGTATTTAAATTACAGATTAACATTTTTACAATCAAATATTTGAATATAATATTTTGCATTACTGGGATACGTTTCCAAAGTAATTTTTCAGCTTTATTAAGAAGATCCTCATTACATCGCAATGGAGTCTATTAAGTTGATAGAGATCATGTTCATCGAGTATTTCATAAGGTATAAAATTATGTTTCAAACATGTATTTTCTATCTCATTCAGGGCTGATATTTTTGCTTTCTTGAAGAATTTTCTTTCTTTATCGACATAGAAGGTGATATTTGGGCATTGTTTTTCAAAATTTAGGCCCACGATTTTTTTGAGCCCCTCCCCTACCAAAAGGGAATGTGTAGTATGATATCTGACATTTTTTCTATACTTAATAATAAAAGAAGCTTTTTGAGTCCCAATTTGGAATCAAAAATTGCTCAATATGACAATTTTCATTTCACTTGAGTTTCACAAATTCACAGGACTTTACATATGCATTTACTATATAACTTACCTAAAGGCTGTGAGAGCTGTACATGGGGGCATGTGTGGAGCACACTCAGATATGGCACGTCTCAAATCTTCAACAGTCAGAAAGCCTCTACCTGAATTTAAAAATAGATTAAAAATTTTAATCTAAAGATGAATGTCACGTCAAGTGGCAGATATGAACTGGCAACCATTTTCAAGGTTTTGGACCATTTGAATACTCAATTATTTTTCGTTCTTCATCATGGCTAGTCAAGATGTCATGTGTCATGCTCCCATGAATTTTTGTTGCATTTTAAAAAATGTAACAAAATCTCTTGAACAGACTCCAGATGAATTCTGGAAATCTGGAGTCATTTGTCTTTTTTAGTCATCAGTGTTTTATCTTCCATTCCTCCGAATGTTTCTCAGCTTTGTTTTTCAAAATTAGTATGGTTAGCTAAGAAATGTGATCAAGTTGGTGGGAAGATCGTCAAATTATTATTTAGGTCAAAAGTTGAAATCTAGGTCAAATATTGTATTTTCAATATTTTGCCAATTATCATTGCCATTGTGCAATATTTCTTCTTCAAATTTTTGCACGATGTCACTATGAAACACAGAATTTGAGAATGCACAATTTTATAGCTTTTGCCGATTTTGAGATATGGTATTCAGAAATAAACATATCAAAAGTTCTCTAAATTCAATGGTATGGGTACCAAAACATATATTCGAAATCTGAAATAATTGACCAAGGCCAAAATGTCACTACCTGCCATTTGTTACAGATGCCGAATACCACCTGCTTAACACCAACTGTCAAATGCCATCCACAAAAGAGTTGGAGACTACAAAAATATCACCACTTCTGGTGCTGACATAAAAACAGCTTTTGAGTCCGCTTATGGCATGGTCACATTTGCTCTGATTTTCAGTACTGGCACCTAGCTGATGATTTAATGTTCAAAATTGCATTCATTTTTGAACAAAATACTCAATCGGCCGGGCACTGAAGAATCGGGAGCAAATGTGACCTTGGCATTAGTGGTATCACTGCTTATTCAGCTTGATTATGTCTGGTCAGTGCCTGTGTATTACATGTACTTACATTGCAAATCCAATGCTAGGAAAATCTGTCTAATTTCATCATCCTCATCCCTGCTACTTAACTTAGCAGACATCAGCTCTGTAAACCTTTGCAGCCCTACACCTGTAAGAAAGAAATTGAGATCTAATCAGAGTCTCACTTAAAAATATAGACCTCAGTGCAGGTTTTATATCGACGAATACATACCACAGGGCTAGGCACAAATGTTTTCTGTACCCAAAACAACCGAAGGGAGTGAGGGGTCAAATCTCATATCTATAGTCATATTTTAACTTTTGAGACCTTCTTGTAGATGATTTAAAAAAATTCGTCAATTTGAAGCAAGTTGAAAAAAGACAAGGTATTAACAAAATGTCACCACCTAGTTCATGTAGCTGCTCACAAAATTATGAGTTCAGTCTTAAAGGCCCACTATACTTAATTAAAAGAAAAGAAATAAAAAAGAAAAAATAATCATTGAAACATGTTACTCACACACTCACTCAAAAATGACATAAATCTTGATTTGGTTTAATACTGAACCAAGAAAAAAACAGAACAACGGCAACGCCAAAGCGTAGCGAATTCCATCGAACAGAAATGGCTGGCATTTTTACAAACGAAATATATAGCAAATATCATAAAATAATACCCATAAGAAAGGCCACCATTTTCAAAATGGTTGCTCACTAGACAAGTTGTCATCAGCAGAAGTAATATGCTTTTAAGTAGCCACATATAAAATTTTAAAAAAATCGCCAACGCATACATTTAAATGCTGGCCATTTTCTAAAATGGCCGCCTACTACCCAAAATGTCATAAGACAGTATGCAATCCTTACCAGTATTCACATATCAAATATGAACAAAATTGCTCCAATACTTTTTGAGTTATAGTAAAAAATGTAAAAATTACAGCCATTTTTAAAATGGCCACCTACTACGCGAAGTGTCATGAGTATTCACATATCAAATATGAACAAAATCGCTCTACTACTTTTAAAGTTATCGTAAAAAACGTAAGAAATGGTGGCCATTTTTCAAAATGGCCGCCTACTACCCAAAGTGTCATTAAACAGTGTGTCAGTGTGTCATGCTTATAGTATTCACATATAAAATATGAACAAAATGGCTCTACTACTTTTTGACTTACAGTAAAAAATGTTAAATAACACACGTAAAAATGGCGGCCATTTCTCAAAATGGCCGCCTTCTACCCAAATGTCATCAGACATTGTGCCATGCTTAGAGTATTCACATACCAAATATGAACAAAATCGCTCTACTACTTTTCAAGTTACAGCAAAAATTGTAAAAAGACGTGCAAAGGCAGTCATTTTTCAAGATGGCTGCCAGGTACGTCTTCTCTATTTACATTTCTAGCTTAATCAATGTCCTTTAAAACTATTTTTACATTTAAAACAAATTGCTATTACAGTTTTATATGCAGTACCTAAATTACTGTAAAATCGGCACTAAAATGGCCGCCATTTTTAAATGAGCGGCCATTTTAAAATCAGTTTTCGGGCAGAACTTCTACCCCCATTAGGTATATGTGTACAAAATATGAACAAAATCGGGCTTACGGCTGTACGGTATTTGAGTTATTGCCCGGACGGACAGACGTACGGACAGACGGACGGATGTAGGCATTCCCTATATCCCTCCGAACTTCGTTCGATGGGATAATAACTCACATAGAAAACAGCATTTGAAGTTCAGAGATCATTAGTACTGCACGCACATGTTAAACAAAGTGATGCATGTTTTTAATTACATTTGATTCAAAAGATGGTGACACTTCTATAAAAATTAATGTATCATGTAATACAAACAACTGCGCCATCTTTCAATGACATTGATAAAAACTTGATATTCAAAGCTTGACCCAAAATATCGAAAATATTTTTTGATAATTTATTGTAAGCTTTGATGTGGTTCGTTTGAGCTGTTTTTGGTGTTGAATGAAAGATAGAGTCCTTATCAATCAATTGGACATATTATGAAATTCAAATGTAAGTCTTTATTTTGCCCAAAAAATGTGCAAAGTGAGCCTTTAAGTCATCTTTGAAATTCTGAGAACTTGTAGATGATTTTGAAAAAATTTGTTATGTTGAAAAAAAGACCTTTTTGACCCCGAGAAGGTCATTGATGGTGAAATCTCAAATCTAGATTCAGATTTGAACTTCTGAGAACTCGTAGACAATTTTGAAAAAAATTGGTCAATCTGAGAGTCAAATCTTGAATCTAAAGTCAGATTTGAACTCTTGATATTTTGTAGATGATTTTGAAAAAAATTGAAGTCAGTCTAAACAGTATTTGTTAAGTTAGATCTATTGGAAGTTGTAAGAATTTGTTACAGAGGCCAACTGCCGATTGCCAACCACCTATTGCCAACCGCAGGCCTGTCAACTGTCCCGCAATTTGCGTATTTGTCACGCATTTGCTGAAGAATTTGAAGTCACGCCAGTTATTTTTGCGTGACAGAAAATGTCACGCAAATACGCATTTTACCTGGTAATTGTCACGCAAAAATATTTCTGTAGAAAAATTTCTAAAATAGATCGTCTACACAGCAAAAATACGAACGCCGGAAAAAAAATGTACGCATTTCGTTCGGACTTTTCACGCGAATTACGTATATGTCACGCATTCCGTTCGAAATTTTGTATATGTCACGCATTCCATTCGAAATTTTTCGTACCTACCCCCCCCCCCCCCCCCCCCACCCCCCCCCGTTGACGGATGTTTGAAACGCGAGCGTAGCGAGCGCGAAAAATTTGAGGTGTTCAAAATTTGGCAAGATGTCCTAAAATTTAAACCAAGGTGTTCAAAATTTGGATCAAGGTGTTCAGATTTGGACCAAGGTGTCCACATTTTGAGGGGAGGTGTTCAACATTTCCAAGTCACTCATGTTAGGTGTTCCCAAGTTGACAGGCCTGCAACCGCCATCAGAAAAAAACGGAGACCATAACAATACTGTACTCCGGGTAAATTTTGACGCTATAAAATTTCGCGATTTTTCAAAATTGCAATTTCGCGGCTATTTAATTTCGCGGATTTGAGTTGATGACATTTCGCCGGTAATTTTAGCCTGTTCAGAATCCGAATCATGTTTGTATATTTCCCACGTCTAGGGCATTTATTTGAATATTTTTGAATAGCTTTTTCAACTTAAATTTGTAGGATATCATTGTCGTCAACAGTTCTTGCCTTTGTTGGCCTAATAAGCCAATTCAAAATGTTAGACATTTTAGGCCTTTTTTGAATTATCACCCAACAACACTGGACGAAACTGGGTCAAATCTCCGGGGATTTAAAACACAAATTTCAGGATGATAAATGTTCGCGATTTTACTACATTCGTGAACAAAGCGAAATTAAATCGCACGCGAACAATACCTGGAGTACAGTATGTCACCTTTTTGGTGGTGAAATAAAAATTGGAGGTTTTCGAAATGATGTCACTTTAAAAAGCCCTAAAAGTTTTCTTTACAGATTATGGAAATAAAATTCAAACAAAAATAGGTTTTAGCATGTAATCCAATGTGGGAGTTAGGGTTGTCAAACTTATGGAGGGGAGTGGATGTCCTATGCATTAAACATTTCAATGCTCAATTTTCAGAAAGTTATGAAAATATCAGCTACATTAATCTTTTTATTGTTGAAATATCTCAAGCCTTTTTGCTGAAATAAGGCAGCATGGTAAAGGTTAAATACCATTTCTTTTAAAAAGCGAATTGAACTCAATCATTATCTGCAATTCTTATATGCGTACATCATACTGTATTTGTCTTTAATTTGGCGCTACTTTATTTGGCGATTTTGTGTTTTTGGGCTATTGGCGTTTATTTAAATTGGCAGATTTTCAAGCATCCAAGACATCCTCTCATCCAATCGAATTCACGATACTCATTGTCAGCGTTGTTTATATAAATTTCTTCAATATTTCTCTTTGGTTCTATTTTAATCGGCCCGGCCATCTTGGTATCTTTCTTATAACTGGAAGTGCACTGTACGATAAACATATCATAAACCCGGGGATTTTGGCGACCATTTCATGGTTAGCCAATTTAAAACACTCACCAAATTAAAGACAAATACAGTATTATTTCATCCAATATTTTTGAGCCCATAATTATCCCAATGAACGAAGTTCGATAGGGATAAAGTGAAGCCCTCCGTCCATCCATCTGCAAGATAACTCAAATACTAGTGGATGGATTTGCTTCAAAATTGGTAGAAAGATGTATATTGGTGAATAATTTTACGCAAAATTTTTTTTTTCAAGATGGCCACCACTTTAGAAATGGCGATAATATTTGGTGAAAATCTTTAGTTTTTCATTTTAAACCAAAGAAATAAATATTATTGTTTCACAACATCTATCTATGTAACATATGTATTCTGAGTTTTTCAGCCTGACCCCCAGGGGCTGTGTATGGGGGGTCGGGAATACAGGAATTTGAGTTAATTTTGAGATCTTTCGTAAGTATAGCTTTATTATACTCAAATGAAAGCCAATTTAGAGTAGATTGCAACTGTTGTATTGTTTTTCTAATTTGGGACTTGTAAAATTCAAAATGGCCTCCTTATGTTGGAATTTTGCAATAATTTTCTTATCTTTTCAAAGTATGGCTATATTATACTCGAATTGAAGGCAATTTAAGGTAGATCCCAAATATGGTATTATTTTTCCAATTTGTGCCTCAGATAATTCAAAATGGCTGACAACAGGAATTTGTGTCAATATTGAGACCTTTCTGAAATATAGCTTTGTACTCAAATGAAAGGTAATTTAGAGTAGAATGCAAATATAGTATCATTTTTCTGATTCGTATAATTCAAAATGGCCAACTTATGTGGGATTTTGCAATAATTTTTTTCTCTTCAAAGTATGGCTATATTCAAAATGGCTGCCTAACAGAAATTCCTAAATGGTCACCAAAATGCTTTAATCAGTGGAAATTCTGATATATCTCTAATGTATGTATTTTGATATCTACCGATTAAATTTCAAGGGAAGAGTAGTTGGTAAATATTACATTGTGAGATTCATATATGTTAAAGTGTTCGTTGGGATATGCTACTCCGTGGAGTTGTCGTTTTCTAGTTGATTATAGTTTTCCATCTTAGTCAATAATTGACAGTGTTATTTTATTTTCATTATTAGAAACTGGGACAAGTCTGCGTCATTAATTGTTTTCTTATGTTCATTTTTTAACTCTAATTGATTTTACTTGTCTTCAACTACAATGGTGATCTGGTTTCAGTCAATAAATCGTAAAACATTTTCTCCTTGTTTGCTCTATACATGTTTGATGAGACTACATTTAACTCCCAGTGTGTCAAGACAATAACTATGGATTTCAACACATAGGACATGACCTTGGTTCACATCCTGACAAACTTAAAAAATAGAGCGAAAATTGTAAGAAAATACCCAATAATGGTTGTAAGAACTTAAATACAGAAAAAAGGGAGTATACATGTACCATAAAGGGAGTATCAGATCTAGTGAGAAGCCTTAACAAAAAATTGTCTCAATTTTAGAACATTTTAGGGTAATATCATTTCTCAATATCATGCCTAATAACTAAAAAATTCTCATATTTTATTTGAGGAAAACTAACGATTTTTACTATAATCATCTGTTCATTTCTCTAAAAATGTGCTGGCAAATCATGCACTTTGAATCTTAAATAACTTCACCAACAATGGATAACATACCATGGTTATTTTGAGGATATTGCATTTGAGATGGTAAAGACATTGCTTGGTCAATTGTACATTTTCCTAGCACCCCTTAAAGCTCTGATTTTTTCATTTTCAAGTGAGTTCAAATGAGTTTTATAGAAACTGGTGCTAGGATGGTCTGATTTCCAAATCTCAAGTGGGTGCATCAACGATTTGTTCCATATGCTCAGGTACTGATCATTTCTGTTGATCTACTCTATTTTACCTTGTTTTAATGATTTTTTTTTACTTTTTTTATTTTATTTATTCATATATATTTCAACATCAAATGTATGTAGTAAACGGGTGACACTTCTTGTGTATATTCCTGTGTTTATAATCAAACATGGAATGTACAGATTGGGGATCTGCTTGTGTGATGAATGCTACTATCTATGTCTGACTAATTATGTATCATATTAATGCCCACTATGGTTATTTAAAATTGGTATTATTGATTGATAAAATATTTTTTAAATTCTTTTTCCATAATATAAATACTTCCAGATGATGTAATTTCAATAGGTAATGAATTCCAAATTGATGGTGCAGTAAAAGATATCAAAGCTTTATACACATTTTTGTTTGTTTTTTGAAATTCAAGATGTCCATTAATTTAATTTGCTTTACATACAACCTTTAATCTCCCATTCTTACAATGTAAATCTTAAGGGATTTTCTCAAAAATTTGGCACATAAATAGTCATCAATACTCAGAAAATTCAAAGGAGTGGTATCAATATGGAGAACTTTTTGAACACATTTTTCTCTTAAACCAGTCATAAAAAATCTAAAAATTTAACACATCATCAATTTAATGGTCATCTTTTGAATGGTAACAATATAATTTGAAAAATGTATATATACTTTCATCTACCCTCTGTATCAAAAGTCTTTTCCTATTAAGGAAAACTTCAAAGAACTTTAGTAAATGACCAGTAAACTTAATGAAACTTTCCACACAAAGTTTGAGGCATATGATACACATTATCCAAAATTTTGAAGACGATTGATTAATCTTTACTCAAAATATTACATACAGAGCATATACCAAAAACACCAATGTGACTTTTTCCAAGTTTGTGACATCAAACTTACCTAAGATTGCCAAACTGACCAAAGCCAGGCTGCTCTGCAAAACTAAGTGGACAAAGGTAATTATATATAATATGCTAATATGAGCAATCAGAATATGTTATAGACTTTACAAATGATCCTGTTCATGAGAGTTGTAAATTTCATAAAATAAAGGTGTCACTGAAAGCTGTATAATAACAATGCAAAAGTCCTTACACTTGGGTCTTAGAACAGTATTGCCTAACTGTTCATTGTTATGCCATATTTCCTTAATATTTACCCCTTTCCTGCCCAATGACATCAATAAGTATAATTTTGTGATTAATGTGTCAATATGATTTTCTCAGGGGTTTATCTTCTAAATATTCTTGATGTACTTTTGGTATTTAATTCAAAAGATTCTATCATATTTCCATTTTATTGCAATAATTCTGAATCATAATGCACCGAACATTGATATATTAAGAATAGCAGTGCTTATTGTGACAACATATTTCTGAATTCCTCAAATAATTTTAGTCAGGAAAGGGTAAAGTGGAGTACAACATGGTCCAGGGCTGTTAATATTTATGAGGACATTCAGAGTACATTTTTTGTATATTTAATAACACAAACTGCTCATAATTAGCATTTTATATATAAAGACTTTGTCTGCATACTTTTACAGAGCAATCTGATTTTGGTCAGTTTGACAATCTTAGGTAAGTTTGACGTCACAAACTTGGAAAAAGTCACATTGGTGTTTTTGGTAGATACTATGTTCTATATGTGATATTTTGAGTAAAAATCAATCAATTGTCTCCAAATTTTCACAGAGGGTGTATTATATGCCTCAAATAATGCGTTAAAAGTTTCATTAAGTTTACTTGCCTTACACAAAAGTTATTTAAGGGTTTTCTCAATAGGAAAAGACTTTTGATACAGAGGGTATATTGTTTTAGAAAACACATCAAACACTTGTTTTGTTCTTGGTATCACATTTCCAGAGTGAAATGAAACATCTTTCCGAACCTCATTGGAACAAAATGACATACCGTATTATCTCTATTAAACGCACAGTGCGCTTAGCAAATTCCCGTTGGGGAGAGGTTTCAAGCAGCTAAATCCCCGGGAATTCTAAAAAATTATGATGGTGGGCGATAATGGGTGAAAATTTACTTCTATACCTTAAATCGATCAAATATAGTAGATATGTGCGTTTATTAGAGAGAATATGCTATATGTTATGTTTTTACCTTGAATTGTGAGCTCCTAGACGACAAATTTAGTATATAAATACACTATTGTGTGTTATTTACACGAACACCTGAAGAAATTTCTTACGTTGCATGATGGAAAATCGTGACGTCATGAATCATGATGCATTATTTTAACGAACGGTGAAAATGCTCTATTATCGCCCACAATGGAGCTTCGTCAGATCTCAATATTATCTGGACAGGACTTTCAACCCTGGGACAAAAAGTCGGGTGTGCGTTTATTAGAGAGTGTGCGTTTAATAGAGATAATACGGTAAACACAACATGTTTAGGTCTCTCAATATTGTATTGTACAAAGGAAATTTTGGTTGTTTTTAAAAAAGTATCTTGTTAATGAAATAAAAGGTTTATCTTGATTTTTATCTATTTTGGGGGATTTTGTTTTAATTTTTTGAAAATCAACCAAAAATTCCTTTGTAAAACTATAATATTGAGAGGTCTAAAAACATCTTGTATCTTGTTCCAACAAGGTTCGGAAAGACATTTTTTCATTCTCAAGTATTGGTAGAAAGGAGCAAAAACAATTGCACTAAAAAAACAAAAATGTTAACAAAACAGTAATATAATGTATTTCTAAATAAATATCGCATTAATTGTTGTCAATCAGTCAACATTACATAAAATATCGTGTTTTTTTACAGAATGTTTTCAATGATTGGTTTAAGAGAAAAACAATGTTGAATTCAGTTCTCCATATCGATACCACTCCTTTAAAGACTGCCAAGTTACCAGTAATTCAAGTTTACAGTATAACAAGATGGAACAATAACTTTTTGAGGAAACTGTTATTGTTATTGACAGCCATTCAAAATCAGTATTATTTTTTCATAACAATTGATGTGAGTGTATACTTCACAGATGTGTTTAATTATACAGCATCCAATTAATCTGAAAATTGACTATTTTGTCAATAAATGAGACAACATTCTGTTTGATTAATTGAATATATATATTTACGTAAACTTTAAGGCATGAACATGAAGTTGAAAGTCACAAGACCTCTACTTCATCTTAGCAGGGATATATGACGCTGGAAACCAGATATATGATGAAATGGCTTATAGGTTGAATAAATAGATACTTATATTTGGGGACCTATCATGTTTTAGAAAACATTAGCCTCAGTAAAAAAATTACTGTCAATTTAGAAAAAATATCCTGAAAAAATATTAATATGTGACATACAGTACATGCACACATTTAGGCTTGATCAGGGATTTTTTGTCGATTTGGAAAAATTTAGGGAAAAATTTTGTTAGGGGTAAAATGTCAAGATCCCCCATTGATCAAATGATCAACTCTTTGATATAAACATGCTGTAGTTAAGTGGAGTAGTTTTATTGGAAAGGATCTCAAGCATTGGCTATTTGTTTTACCAGATGGGAGTTTGCTAGAAGAAAATAGATGTGCCAAATGAATTTTTAATCAAACTTGAATTGAACATTTGTTTTAAAAATCACCACGACTGGAGATTAGAAACATGATTTGGTGGCAATGTCCATTGCTACTATTTTTTATATCTTGTTCGTGGACAAACTTTAATCAGGTGGAGGGAAGTGTGACAAAAACTGATTATTTTAAATCTAACAAGAATTACATGAACATTATGCTTAACAGCTCCTGGCATACAATTGATGATTTCAGCGCAACAAGTCCAACAACCTGTGCATTTATGTGTAAGGAAAACGAAGACTGTCTCTCCGCACATTTCTCAGATGACTCAAGTATATGCAGATTATACAACAGATATCTTGATACAGTGGTAAACTCTACAAATACTTACAACGAGACAGGTTCTGTGTATATTGAGATACCAATGTCAGATCGAAACTTAAGTGAGTTTTTTTCTTTTTATTTATTTGTATTAGTAATTAGTTCATGCTCATTTTTTCTAAACTAGGCATAAATTAAAAAAATCTGATGATGACTGAATTCATATTCATTTTCATAATTTTCTTTTTTTCTGGCTCCAAAAGATTTTTGTAAGATTTTATTTATTAAAATAATATATTTTCTTTCAAGTGAAATCCCCATGATAGTAAAGCATTAAACAAACTCTCCAAAATACTATGGCTGGCACTTTTTAAAAAATGCTAGGCATTTTGCTAGGATTTTGTAAGATAAGTCTGTAATAAATTCAGATGCACAGAAAAAGTATAGTCTAGTATATAATTTTAACAGTCCAGTTTCAAGCATCATTAATGTAAAAGCAACTTTGGCATTGTTAATCTGAATAAATACTAGATAATGGCAACTCCGCGGAGTAGCAAATCCCAACGAACAAAATATCAATTACCGAATTCCAATCAATTATACTCACTACTTTGGTTAAAATTGAAAAATTTAGATTTAAGAATTGCGAATTCCTGCAAAGCAGCCATTTTGAATTTTCTGAGGTGCATATCTGATAAATAATACCATAATTGTAATCTACTCCAAAATTCCTTCAATTTGAGTATTATATAGCCATACGTTGAAGGGATCGAAAAATTGTTGCGAAATCGTACATTAGACGGCCATTTTGAATTTTATGAGGCTCGAATCAGAAAAAAGATACAATATTTGCAATCTACTCTTCATTGCCTTTCATTTGAGTATAATAAAGCTATACTCCAGAAAGATCTAAAAATTAGCGAAAATTTCTGTTTTCCTGACCCCCCCATACACGGCCCCTGGGGGTCAGGATGAAAAACACGGAATATATGTGAAAAAGATAGATGTTGCGAATATACTACCAAAATTTCAAACAATAATATTAATTACTTTGGTTTAGAATGAAAAATTTATGATTTTTGCGAAAAAGTCCCGTCATTTTTAAAGCGGCGGCCATCTTGAAAAATTTTTTTTTTGCGTAAAACTATTCATCAATATACATCTTTCAACCAAATATGAAGAAAATCTGTCAACTAATATTTGAGTTATCTTCCGGACGGACAGACGGACGGAAGGACGGACTGACGGACGGACGGAGGGCTTCACTATATCCCTACCGAACTTCGTTCGTTGGGATAATTATAGTATGATAGCATATTAGTTTGCATTAGAATAAACAAGACATATTATACATATCGATTTGACATTATGCATTATGTAACTTACTGTGCTGTATTTAGTATTTGAATGTGAATTCCCTCCCCATTCATATATCTTGTATTATTTCAAAAGCAGGGGAGGGAGGAGATGGAATTGGAAGTTAAAATAACTATTTTAATGAATACTCATTTTTGACAAGAAAGCAGGCATATAAGGTGAATTTTTAGAAAGCTGATTTTTTACGAAGTTGATTTTTTACAACGTTGATTTTTTGCAAGATTTGTGATTCTGTCATGGTGCAATTCATGACAAGGCTGAGTTAAAATATAATCACTATGTAAGCTCGATGTATGAAATTCAATATTCTACAATTAATAAATGTTTTATTTTATTTTACTGTTCATTTGTCATCATGAAAAATGCAAATTAGGCCAATGTCTCTTGGGAAAGATATATCAAAAGATAATTAACACGCCCGGTGATCGTGAATATGGGACGGAGGGGGGGAGCAGGCAATTTCTGCTAGGAAATTCAACAAATCTGGAAGATTTATTTTTTCAAGAAAATGTTTACTATTGAATTGCTAAATGGATAGGCGCACGGTATGGTAGAATATGTTAGGTTTTCTGGGATTTTTTCTGAAACGATACGCATCTAAGGTATGAGATCTATTAAAAAAGGCGCAAGGCCATCAACAGGCACAAATCAACGTTTTTGCTATAAATCAAGCAACAATGGACTACACGACCTGTAATAAATACTTGTAAGTGATGTTATCATAACTAAATTAATGTCATTGCTGAATTTATAAAATAAGTTTCCATACGTAAAATAAAAAATAATCGAAAATAATTAAAATGGGACGGAGGGGGGGAGGGGACGGAGGGGGGGAGTAATAATTCTATAAAGTGAAACAACTTCACACAAATTCTTGTATTTGAAAAATGAACTCATTAACTTAGTAAGAAACTGGATGATATACCCCCGGAGACTGAAAAATTGGGACATTTGGAGTAAAAGGACTTAAAGTTGCGAAACATCTCTAATCATGTCTTATATACATATTGCTCCCCCCCCTCCGTCCCAAATTCGATATTTTATTTCACATATGGGAACTTATTTTATAAATTCAGCAATGACATTAATTTAGTTATGATAACATCCCTTACAAGTATTTATTACAGGTCGTCCAGACCATTGTTGCTTGATTTATAGTAAAAACGTTGATTTGTGCCTGTTGATGGCCTTGCGCCTTTTTTAATAGATCTCATACCTTAGATGCGTATCGTTTCAGAAAAAATCCCAGAAAACCTAACATATTCTACCATACCGTGCGCCTATCCATTTAGAAATTCAATTGTTAACTTTTTCTTGAAAAAATAAATCTTCCAGATTTGTTGAATTTCCTAGCAGAAATTGCCTGCTCCCCCTCCGTCCCATATTCACGATCACCGGGCGTGATTAAAGGGGCAATAAGGACTGTAGGGAAAATAGGAAAGTTTTTTCATTTTTTCTGAGCTATCAAGGCAACATTTGGTTTAACATCTTCTTTGACATACCTATTTTCTTAAAATGTATGGATAAATTATCAATTTTAGCATTAGGAAGTGTAAATTCAGTTCAAAGCTTCAAAAAGGGGACTTCCACTTTTATATTTTTAAGATCCACCATGTTTCAAGAGGAATATCAGCTAAAATAATGTTTATCTAGGGGGTTTCTTTGTAGATAATAAAAATAGATGTAAGTCTTGATGAAATATCCAAACTTAAATATATTTTGACACTGGTCCATGATCGTTGAATGACCCCTCTGCACTAATTATTGCACCTTTAAGTTAATCAAACTAAAATAATCAATGGCTAATGAATCAAAATCTATATGATAAAAAAATATGATTCAGTCGGGACAAGGTCAAGCTGGGTTTACATATAAAACTAACTTCAGTTTAACATAAATTACATATAATCAATAACAAAAAATTAAAAGATTAAATTCATGTTATAAGTATTCATTTGAGATTCAAAGTTAATAATGAGATAAATTATGGTGTATTAATATTTCTATCTCATATAATTAGGATTATTTTTATTTCACATATATTTTAAATTCCAAAATGTGACCCCAATGATAATTTTCCTTTGCAATATAATTTGCAGCGTGTGGAAGGATCATGCGTGAAGCGAAAATCACAATCAACCTCTCCACGAATGACACGATTCCAGACGGATGGCGTCTTTGCTACATAGATGGCCGTGATACCAACTATTACTTTTCCGACTGCCGCGATTTATTCGATGGTTTTCCAGGGATCGGAGGAAATGGAGGAGCAAATGAGCTTCTGGATGCGGGTGGAAATTTTGGCTGTTGGCGGGGAGTTACACCAGAGTGGGGAATGGAGCCAGCACATGGCCATTGGCAGGACGCAATACCAGACTGCTGCAGTGCAGGGAGTCAACACTACAATTCGATGGTACCTTCATTTACGTGCAATCCATGGCAATGCAATTATTATGCTGTGTGTGTGAGGTTACCTTAGGTGAAAAAACAATACAAATTGACTGAAAAATATCTTTGGGAAAAAAGCAATACAATTTGACTGAAAAATACCTTTGGTGAAAAAGCAATACAATCAATATGACTGAAAATACCCTCAAATCCTGGGTCAAAAAGCAATACAATTTGACTGAAGATGCCCTGGGTGAAAACAATACAAATTCACTGAAAAATACCCTGGGTGAAACAACAATTAATACAATTTGATTGAAAAATACCCTGGCTATGGGCCTGCCATGAGTATAGCCCCTGCAGTCATGTTTTAATGTTACAATGAAAGACAGAGCCAGGAACCCCTCTGCGAAGGAACCCCGAGTTCTCTTATTTGCTTGTAAATATACAGATGCTTGTATTGCATTTGGATGAAATGAAATCAAACAAAACAAGTGACACTTTTAATGGTATTTACACCATAATAAGCAATTATCTAATGGACTAATATTTATTCATTTGTTGAGATTGGTAAAATCTGTATATCCGATCACCTGGCTATTCCTAAAAACCACTTTTTCCTCCCATTGACTCCCATGTTACGTTAATCTTGAAATGTCACTTTTTTAACATCCTCTGCTGATAAATATTCCTCAATGATGAGTTGTAAATTACTTGTTTAACTCTTATAGATTTTTAATCTTAAATCATCAATTTTGATTAAATTTTAAACAACCTCATGATGTAAGGGTAATATCATCTAATTGCCATCATCAAACTAGTTCAAATTTTAATATTTTCTATAAGCATAACTTTGCATTCATATTTTTGATGACAAACATATGTTTGAAACATACATATTTCTGACTGAGCTAGTTAGCTAGTTTAGAATCTAAATAATGGAAATGTAGTCTAGCCAGGATGAGGCAGTTGAGGTTTTATTTACATTGAGAAGTGTTTTGATTAAAGAGGTGTTCACATATACATGCTTTGCTGTACTTTGAATCTGAGTGGTGGAGACCATGAGTCCACTGAAACCATTTCTACCCAGGAACTAATCCAGATGAATCAATGGCCTTGGTAAGGGGCAGGAATTTGATGCAACTATCGCTCTCTAAAAGGGTATTCATGGGACTCATTTATTCTTCAACAGAATAATGCATAACATTGCCACACACCCCCTACCAGTTGTGACAAGCATACTTAGCCTGGTACACTCAGGCTCCCTGTTGAAAATAACACAAATTAGGGCACAAAGTGGTAGTTCTTAGACTGATATGAAGTCTCTGCAGCATTTAATGAAGGTAAAACAATCCACATTTATCAGTTTTCTTAATACAACATGGATTGTACAGTGCGTTTTCCAATACAAAATCAATGGAACAATTAAAAAATCTGATCAATCGTCAATATCTCTCATTTCACAGCTTATTTCCCGCAAAATCTTTTATCAATATATGTCAGGTTTTGCAATATAAGATCGCAACTGCTTACCAATTATCCGGCAAAGGGCTCATTTTCAATAAAATGTCTTTAGTTGAAGTTGCCTGTGACAAATTGTTTTAAATATCGCTCCCCATAATTATATTCTATAATCAGTTATGAGTGCACACGCAACTCATCCACTGAACGAAATGAAACTACTCTCTGAAATCATCATTGTTTACTTTTCATAATTGTCCATGCATTGAACAGGCAACCAAAATTTTCAGAAAGGCCTCGGTTAGGCTAAAACCTATTTAAGAGCTGCTATTCCAACCAATTAAAATTAAAAAATACATATACCCAGTGAATGTAGTAATACAGTTTTCTCCCGCCCCTCATTGATCAAATGACTACAAATAATCACGCTATTGTCAAGTGAAGTAGTTTTATTGGAAACTAAAGCCATGGTTATTTGTTTTACCAGATCGGATGCAACTTTGACAATAGAAATTAAATACACAAAATGAATTTTACATGAAACATTAATTGAACATTTACTTTATTCAATGCCATAACTGGATGAGATAAGAAACATGATTTGGTGGAAATATCCATTTCTACTGCTTTTTATTATATCTTGTTTGTTTGAGGATGAACTTTAATCAGGGGGAGGGAGTTAGAGAAATTTTAATCAGGGGGAGGGAGTTAGAGAAATGGTCTGGCAACAGAGGGGGAGAAACACCAGGGTTTCATAGATGACATACGCTTATAATGTAAATCTGTATTGAGATGACATCGTCGCTGATTGGTCAAAAGTCGACGAACAAATGACGTCATCAATGGCGGTTTAAAAATTTTCAAATTACGCTTCGAATAATATTATGTTCATTTCTGGTGTGTTAACCAATATCATAGCTTCTCATTACACATCAAGATAAAGAAAGGTGTACGGAATATGCCTACATCAATTAAAACATCCCATCGAAGTGTAGTATTTGATAATTAGCCGATGGAAATTCGAACAAACGAAGGTGGTAAGCAAGAGACGTAATTAATAGTGTCATCTTTAAACTCTGGGGCTTTCCCTCCTCTTGTCTGACAAAGAATATTCCTTTAAAGGCACACTATATTTAATTTAGAAGAAAAAAAAAAAAAAATTGAAACCTGTTACTCACATACTTGCTCAAATATGACACAAAGTTTGATTTGCTTTAATATTGAACCAAGAAAAAAAGAACTCACATAGAAAAAAGCATTTGAAGTTCAGAGATCATTAGACATGCATGCACATGTTAAACAAAGTGCATATTTTAAATTACTGTTGATTTTAAAAGATGGTGACACTTCTATAAAAATAAATGTATCATGTAAAACAAACAACTTCGCTATCTTTCAATGCCACGATAAAAACTTGATATATAAAGCTTGACAGATGGAAAATATTTTTTGATAATTTATTGTAAGCTTTGATGTGGTCTGTTTGAGCTGTTGTTGGTGTCAAATGAAAGATAAGGCTCTTATCAATACATTGGACTTACTATGAAATTCAAATGTAAACCCAAAAACGTTGAAAATACGCAAAGCGGGCCTTTAAGTAAGTTTTCTCTTATTTGTACGTAATTTACATCAGCATATAAAATTTTAACCGAATCCTTAATTCATCAAGGAAGGACTCACGACCCTGGGCTCACAGTGTAGAACCTTTAGATGAATGTATATCCTTACTATCAAATTTAGATAGCATGTAGTGACCTAGTGTGATGACATTGACCTTGAAAATTTTACTTTTTCAGAGCTCAGTAGTTTTTTTGTGATTAAAGCAGACATGAAATGGTATTTTTAACCTAAAGGAATCAATATAATTTTTTGATAGATGTATTTGGACATGTTTTATCATCAGTAGTGTGAAAACTATTTCACTCTAACGATCGTTATAGCTGCTTAATAAGCAATATTCGAATTGGTTGTGACGTTATTGGCCCCACGTGATCTCTCACTGGTCCCAACGTGGCCCGTTTTGGTCCATTAGATCATGACGTCATAATGCCAAAATGTTTTGTTATTTGTTTACACAACAATACTATGGTTGCCGTGACGTTGTGATTACAATGGAACCAATAAACCAAAGCTATATTTTGTATATGACGTTACTAATCACGTGGGGGCCAATTTGATTCATCAGTTAGTTTTATTTCGTTATCTATAACTGTTAGCAGTTATCTAACATTTATTTTATAAAGGCTATCACAAGAACTCTACGGTGGGCTTACAATGGAGAAAACCGCATTTTTGTAGCTGCAAGTTGAGAAAAGCTATTTCAGTTGTCCTTTAAGCTCACCAAAATTTGAATCAAAAAATCAATTAGAAAAAGCAACATTTTTGACTTTCAAGGGTCACTGAAGGTAAAGTAAAGGTCAAATATCAAAACTTCAGTCAGATTTGAACTCCTGGGAACTGGAAGATGATTTTTTTAAAGAAAATTTGGTCAAATTGAAGCATGTTGAAAAATAACCTATTTTAACCATGTTTTGATGTCAAAGGATCATGGAAGGTATCGCAACAGATTTTAGACAGTAATATGTTGGATTGTGGCCATTTTCTGAAGATTTAAAAAGGTGCATATGTTAGGCAAATGCATTATCTAAAGGAAAAGTACTCAAAGAGATGATCAAAATGTTTTTCTGATTTTCATCCCCTTCCACTTATGTTTTTCAAGGTTTTATGAATCAATGTGTTGCATTTGTAGACATAGTTAGCCTGCAAATATGCATATGTAAATGACAGCCATTTTGAAATTCAGCTGCCGTCTTCAAAATCCCTTCTTGAGCAGAACTTGTTTGTCCCTAGGCATTAACATATGAAATTTGAACCATAACTGTCTACTGGTATTTGAGTTACACAAGATTACTTCTTTCTAAGAAAAATGGCAGCCGTTTTGAAATACAGTTGTCATCTTGAAAATTGTCATCTTCAAAAATGGAGGCCATTTTAAAATTCTGCAGCCATCTTAAAAATTTCTTCTTGAGCAAAGCCCCTTTGCCCTGACGCATAAGCATACAAATTTGGAACCAAATCCATTCACTAGTATTTAAGTTATCAAAGATTACATTCTTAACAAAATGTGGCGGCCATTTTGAATTGAGCATTCATCTTGAAATTACTTCTCCATCAGAGGTCCTACATCCATAAGGCATAAGCCTATAAAGTCCGAATCAAATCTGTCAACCGCTATTTGAGTTATTGCCTGGACAAACAGACAAATGAACAAACAGACAAACGGACAGATGGATGGACGGCTTCTCTTTATCCCTCTCACACTTCATTCGGTGGGATATCTATGCACATGATGTTGGCTGTCACTTTAAAGTGTTATTGATGATGTTGGATACTTTGTGAAAGTATGCTATTTTGATCCCCATTAATGCCATTGTAGTACAGTTTATTTTTGTTTTATTTCATCCATACAACCAATGAATATGAAATGGACTTGAAAAATATCCATGGGATAAAATATAACTACCTTGTTCTTCTTGGCCTTTGTTTGTGTTATTTTCCATCATTTGATCAACTTCAAACTGAAATAGTGAAGTAGTGAAGGTTTTGATTGAAATTATACAAAAAGTACATTAACTCTAATCTCAAAATTCAATTCTCAGAATTCAAATTCTAATTCTACAGCATATTGATATTTTGAAGATATTATGTAAAATTTGGCATAACTTAACTCAAATCTTAAGAAATCCAAGTCTAAATTTCCATGTACTGCTTAATTGATATGTAGATAAAATATAAAATAAACCTTACCTTTGAAGGTTTGTAACCAAACAGTGAAGCAACTGCGAACTTCAATTCCCCGCGAGTGAGATATCCCTTCTGTGTCTCATCATACTGATGGAATATCTGCAAAAGAAAATGGTGTTAAAGAGTCCATCCACCTTGGTGGGAATTGAAACCCACAACCTCCTGATTACATGACGAAAGGTGTACCACTTGAGCTATGCATGTCATAAACTGTACTTCTACTTAATTTGGAGGCCGTTTTAGTTTGGCGGATCTGCCAAAAGTCCGCCAAATTAAGTAGCTGCCAAATTCTCCGGTAATTTTAGTACCATATAAATTAGTACCATTCGTACATTGTAATATTGCAAGTCCAACAAATTAAGTAGCCACCAAATGTTCAAAACAGCAAATCCGCCAATAAATAAGTAGTGGTTACGTGTTGTTACCTATAACATGTTTATAAATGTTGACAGTAAAAATTTGAAGCCAATTCTAAACAGTACTTGCTAAGTTATTAGAAGTTGTAAAAATTTGTTACCGACTCCAACTTTGTTACAGATTTGTTACAAATGCCAAACACCATCAATAAAAATGTTAGAGACTACAACAATATGTCACCACTTCTTGTGGTGAAATAAAAAGGTGGCAGCATAAATTCTGGTTAATTTACAATAGAAATATACACAGATGCCATCTTTATATAATGGAAATATGAAGGAACTGGGACGTTTTTAAATATGGAGACTGATATAATGCAATGCCTCACTTAAGACATATTGTGTTTCAATTTTTTCAATACAATTCCAACTTTCCCAATCATCTGGAATTAATTCTAAAATGAGTCAAGCACCGAAACAAATGGAAGAATTGTCCCAAAAGATAATTCATCCCCACTCTCTGAGTCTCTGTACATCAAGGGTAAAAGACAGAAGAATCTTCTACCAGAAATTATTATTCAAATCAGTCATTAAAAATTCATATTATATTGATGTAATTTAAAAAGTAGTAGAAGAAAATAGTAAATAGAGCGTTCCAATAAACCCTACCAACCCTTGGTAATTAAGGGGAGGCATCAAAAGTTCAATGTCCGATAGGAAACTAAATAAATCTAGTTTTGACTTTGGGCTCCTCCCCCAAAAACTAAATTCCATGAAAGTTGATCGCAGACTTTTGTGTGTTTTCTTTGACTTTGGGACTTTCATGGGGGCATTATAACTTTAGAATTCTTAAAACATCTGACAATAACAATAGGCATAATATTCCATATTGCATGCATCTTGACAAAGAATTATCAGGAAAAATCTTTATTTTTAAGCTATTCCTTGGCAAAAATTGTAATTTGTCGGATAGCAGACTAAAATGGCTTTGACCCCCCCCCCCCCCCAAACTAGATTTATTTAGTATCCTATCAGACTTTGATCTTTTGATGCTTCCTCGACCTCAAAGCGAAAATTATTTAGAAATGTTTTTGTTAACATTTTTAGTTTTTTTAGTGCAATTGTTTTTGCTCCTTTCTACCAATTCTTGAGAATGAAATAAAATGTCTTGGAACAAAATAGCATATACAACATGTTTTTAGATCTCTCAATATTGAAGTTATACAAAGGAATTTTGGTTGATTTTAAAAAACTATTCAAAAAATTAAAACAAAATCCCCCCAAAATAGATAAAAATCAAGAAAAACCTTTTATTTCATTAACAAGATACTTTTTTAAAATTAACCAAAATTTCCTTTGTACAATTACAATATTGAGAGACCTAAACATGTTGTGTTTATGTCATTTTGTTCCAATGAGGTTCGGAAAGGTGTTTAATTTCACTCTGGAAACATGATACCAAGAACAAAACAAGTGTTTGATGTGTTTTTTAAAACAATGTAGATGAAATTATGTATATCTATTTCAAATTATATTGTTACCATTCAAAGGATGGCCATTAAATTGAAAATTTGTAAGATTTTCAGAAATTTTTGATGACTGGTTTAAGAGAAACGTGTGTTCAAAAAGTTCGCCATATCGATACCCATTCTTTAGGAGCAGTTTATCAAAAAAAGGTTCGATGGATAAAGGATACATCATGTCAGAGACATATAATTAAGCGTAATGTTGTATATGTCTCTGTTTGTCTTTTTTCCTTGGTACACAGATTGGAGTTTTTTCCGCCTATTTTTAAGCACAATTAACATCTATTCTGATACCAGTGAAATTAGTATGCATCACCTTCTGTTAGTCTCAGTCGCCAGTGAACTGTTTTCTTGAGTACTAATAAGTGCATGTAGGTGCAGTGTAGACTGTATCCTTCATCTGAATAAATTCAGTCTGTTGGATACATACAGTGGTGAACATAAATAATTACTAACAATATGAAAAAGAAATTCTGTCACATATGTCATAAATCCTTACCTCAGTGAATTGAATGCTCTATTTTCTCCGTCCCAGAATGATAGTATAGTGGAATTTGTGTCCATAATGACAAATAGGAACTTAAAAATTTGAAGTGATATTCACATGTTAATGCCGACACTTCAAATGTTGAGGTGATTTTGGAGCCCGATTACGCCGCAAGGAGGATTGGCTCCCAGAATGCAACATGACACTGGCCAGCTTTCAAAATGCTGTTCCACCATTTTGAAACCTTTCACGAGTAAATAAGGTTAACTGATGTTGCATTCTGGGAATCAATCCACCTTGGATCACAAACATGGCGATCCATGAAAACATTTGTTCGATTTGGTAGGAATTTATCCATCATTTGCAGGTATGAAGCTTTGGATTCATTTATTGTGCTACTTAAAGTGAACGGGAATTATTTTTCTACCGCTTGGGAGAGTTTGAGACATGAAACTTAGAATTTAGCTCATTGTGACAACTTTTGATGGTTGAGGTTTATTAATGTCTCCCTAGGGCTGCCATCATTAGTCGGAACGTCGACTTGTCAGTCAAAATGCAAGTTCGACAACGAAGTCGACAAAATTCCCGTCATGTCGACAGCAAACGATATCAATACTTACTTGAAAATATCCAAATGGCCCCAATACATTTCAATACACATTTCAACGTGTTATGTGCGCGTATTCTGCGGAAATATTGTTCACATTCATTTCATTTTCAAAAAATAAATTCACCCGGAAGTTCCCTTCATGACTTCTCTTCTCTCTTGCGAGACGTTGTACGAGATTTCGCCCGAGCAGTCGAAATAAATCCCGGTCGAAACATTGCAGGTATTTGTCCCATTTTCGTCTATAATATTCTATTAACTTGGCATTTAGTAACAATATTAGGCAATTACATACCAATATGAATATAAGTTATATGAAGCTTTTCCCCGATAGTGTATAAAGTGTGTTAATGAACAATTTTTTTTCGACAATATTTTCGACAGCAGAGTTCGACTGTCGACACTGACATTTGAGTTCGATGGCAGCCCTAAGAGACAACTTTACATACTGAGGTGCGATGTACATTCTGTATCGTCCATTATAATAAATTTGAGATAACGGTCCTACACCATAGAATGACATAGAGTCAAATTCAACACTGGTTTTTAGAATCTAAAAATATGGATAAGCCAAGAGCTAGAATGATGTTTTAGAATCTAGGCTAACCTCAAAAATTAAAAACCTGCACTCGAGGTCTGAGGCGAACTTACATTTGAAATCAATCTTGTTTCTTCTTCGCTCACTTGTTTGGTATGTGTCAGTTTAAACATGCCCCCAAATACTTTTCCAAATAACGCCGCCATCTAATCAACAATAGCTTCACCATATGTGCATGTATAGCGCATTTTTATCAAAATATTATTGGAAAACATTTTATTTTGCTTTCGCGGCAAAAGGGGTTTCCCAATTAATGGGCTGTGATTGGTCAATAATTATCACGTGGGGGTGATTCCTTCATGATAAAACACAACACACCCTGTTTTAGTTTCACATATTCACGTCAAACTAAGTCTATGTTGAAAACTACATGCTAGTTATAGTCAAAAAATTGAATAATCGTATTTTGTCATTAAATTTCGATGTTTTTTACTCCAGGAACAGTTTTCGTAGATAATGGGCATGCCATCTAACGGCAAACGTCGGGACAATAAAGCGTTTTCGTATTCTAATTTTAGGTCATTATCATATTTCAATATGGCCGAAGATTGAACTCTTGAAATTAGGCCGAATGTTTTGTGTAATATTGTCGATATAAAGACAGTTATGTCTTCCGTAACCACACGGACAACAAGGTTACGTGCCAGGCGATCAAGGAGGATAGTTAGGAAGTGTTCAACCTCTCCTGAACGTGAATTAATCGGTGAGTTTATGGTCTTTGTTTTCAACGACCGAGTTTTTGTAAAAAAAATTCATCGAAGTCCCAAAGTGAATTTGGCGAAATGGGGAGTTTCTACAATATAGTAGCAATTTATACTTCCTGGACTAGATACTGTTTCATCAATACACACAATATACCATAATTTTAGGTCCACATATAACAACATACGCTCCTGAAAAAAATTGTAAAACCAACAACCATCACTGACTTTGTCAATCAAAGCCAATCTATAGATTAGCCAAGGCTGTGACACCACATAAATCAATACACAAAACCACTGGTTGATTTATAGATTGATCAGACCATTTCATATGTACTAAGGACATAGGACATGCCCAATATAGGACCACACGTGCCCAAGTTCAGTAAAATTATCACACGAGATGCTCCCTTCCTCGACTCTAGCCAAGTTTCACTACAAATTTGTGTTCTCTTTGTACTCTAGAGGGTGGTATGTCCCCAATGAGTGCTGATTTTAATATTAATTTATTTTAAATATGTCAGAGAATGAACATTTTGTTGAAATTCCAATTGTGTCTGTGTCCGGGATAAATCAACGGGTCTGTCCTATAAACAATAAAATGTGCAAAACTTTATTTCGCTATTGCATGAGAAACATTTGATTTCGCTATATCGGTTAAAAAGTATCCTCTTTCTGCTGAAGTAGTGAAACTTCAAAAAACAATGAAAATCAGCTTATGTAAATGGGAAATAAACTCACATTCTGCAAAGAGATTCAAAGTTATGTTTGATAAAATCATGGGCTTTCAACTAGAATCTAATTGAAAGCCCATGATAAAATCCAGATAATAAACAGGAAGTGAGTGAAAGCAAAATTATAGATGAATGAAAACATCAGGACTTTCTATTTTGCGCAAGTTTAAAATACAGAAACAGCCTTGGAAGTACATAATATCTCCTGATTACAAACCTGGACAAGCTCTACCAATTTACATTCATTTATTCAAACAGAAGTTAAAAAATAGATGGACTTCTGTCTTCTTTCCTTCAAAGAATAAATCTGAAAACACCGGAAAGGAAAATGTTTTACAACTCTGGGAAATGGCGAGGAAATAGTTCTAATTTTCTCCAATTGTCTGAAAAAGTAAAAATACACTAAGATTTTTGACATCTAAAATGTCACTCGACTTTTTGCAAAAAAACTTCCAAAAAGTAACAGTCGAATGAATCACATTGTCGTTCTCACAAAATGATCCACCGCCTAACTTATGCACCATCGAACTCGGTAATATTGTACATGTAACTATTAATTACCGCATATTCCCATAGAAAACTGGGCTTGCTTTTCAACATTTCAAGCGAAAATTCTCTATGGAGCTTTTGTTTTTCTGACGTAATTTCTTCTAAGAAATCGGTGACGTGATAGGTTCAGTTCATCTTATTTCGAAAGGTGTCATCTATTGAGAATATTTATATTCATCTTGTCCAGTCCTATATACAACCTGCCCTTATCCTTTTTCGCTTGTAAAACCGCGTAGTAATGTTGAAATTATGGAATAGATTCTCTGAGAGTGGTGACATGTCTGCATCTCTATCATCTTGCGTTTGACTTGACACCCCTCGTTTTTGGCGAGTCCAAGTAAACCGCACATCCGGGTGATTAGAAAAGGGACATTTTTTTTTTTAAATCGAGCGGCAATAAAGATACTTCTGGTCAAACTGAGTTTATGACGAAACTTATGAAAGAATCAATAAAAGGTAAGTGGTATACATTAGGCGGATGCAAAAAATTAAACGTGGCGCCAATTTGAAACTTCAGAATGCTATCTGTGATTCAAAATCACAAAAAAGTCGAGTGACATTTTAGATGTCGAAAATCTTAGTCTACTAGAACATTAGTTCATTTGATTTTGAATATAAAAGCGAATATTCTGAAAAATAATGAGTGAAATGATTGAAATATAGCTAGAAACACATGTGACCTTTTTGGGAATAATAATGATGACCTGTGCATTGAAGGGGTCACTTCCTTATTCCTGCTGTAATAGACACATGTCATTAAATAAAGCCATAGGAGAAAAGACCGTTGGTCTTGACATGATTTTTAGGTCAGAGTTCACAGGACTTTTACCAGTCTTGATTGGTCTTTTAAAAAACATTGGGGTATTGTTGAAATAGACTTCTGGTCATCACAGGTCTCTAGAGGACTTCAAAAGTCAGGTGAAAAAGACCGGTCGGTGTAAACGGGGCTTAGGAGATACGTGTCATTATATCTAAGACTAGGAATATATAAATTTGGCAAATTTAAGGTGCCGATCTTACGTCAAGGATAAAATCTTTTTTTATGATAGCTGACATGAAAAAGATGCCAAGTCCCCAACTAATTCTCAAGATTACAAAATAAGTACATATGTACATAAGTTCAACTTATCTACTTGTATTTTATTTGCAGAGTTTACAGACAAACCCTCCTGTTCTGATGGGGAGAACCCGGCCACAGTTGCCCATCCCTACCATCTCCGCCGCAAAACTGCCTCGTCACAGTCCCAAGATGCCGATCTAATGAGTGGTGTACTTCCTGGAAAGCGGGCACGTAGATCACGATCTATCAATGGTGCTTTAACAAAAGGTACACGCAGCTTTCATAAGATTTTCTTTGTATCGTAAATAGTGAATTTCACAGAAAGCTTGAATAATTATTTTTACTTTAAGAATTGATTTTGAAAATGTAATTTGGCAAAATAATGAAATTGATTATTTCTTACCTACATCTTTCGTGGCACAATTGACCTTAAAACAAATTCCTTTTCCTGTTTTAGGTTCAGTTGGTGCCCATTACTTGCAGTATGAGATGCCAGATGAGGTGCTCTTGAATATATTCTCCTACCTCCTTGAGTTTGACCTGTGCAATGCCTCTCGAGTGTGCAAGAGATTTGGCACAATTGCCAATGATACAGAGCTATGGTAAGTCAGAGTGTGCAAGAGATTTTGCATGGTTGCAAAGAATGGGAGTGCAAGATACTTTGCCAATAAGACAGGGCTATGGTAGGTTTGGGGTGTAGGGAATTTGGCATTGTTGCAAAGAATGGAAATATGAGAGGAAGAGATTTTGTGTGATTACCAATGGGACAGGGCTATGGTAGGTTTGGGGTGTAGGGAATTTGGCATTGTTGCAAAGAATGGAAATGTGAGAGGAAGAGATTTTGTGTGATTACCAATGGGACAGGGATATGGTAGGTTTGAGGTGTAGGGAATTTGGCATTGTTGCAAAGAATGGAAATATGAGAGGAAGAGATTTTGTGTGATTACCAATGGGACAGGGATATGGTAGGTTTGGGGTGTAGGGAATTTGGCATTGTTGCAAAGAATGGAAATATGAGAGGAAGAGATTTTTATTGATTACCAATGGGACAGGGCTATGGTAGGTTTGGGGTGTAGGGAATTTGGCATTGTTGCAAAGAATGAAATTATGAGAGGAAGAGATTTTGTGTGATTACCAATGGGACAGGGCTATGGTAGGTTTTACCTGCAGGGACTTTGTCATTGTTGCAAAGAATTTAAGTGTATTTGTTGAAAAAACTATTTATTTTAGAAATAGATAAGCAAATTTTGCTTATTAAACAAAACCAGATTTAGCTCTAAGTCACATGTCCATTTTAGGAAATCCTTTTGTGTATAAATTTTAATCAATTTTCATTTTCAGGAAAACCCTTTATCAGAGTGTCTATGAATATGACATGCCTCTTCTGAACCCAGAACCAAAGGTGTTTGAGTTTATTCAACCTAACGAATCAGAATACACAAACCCATGGAGGGAAAGCTTTAAAAAATTAGTAAGTGCACCTTTTGAATGATTTAAGTACAGGTTGAAATGCTGAATTGATGTTGATTTGCACTTGGAAGTTGGATAGGGAATGACTTATTTAAGGTTAATACAATTTATTTTAACAAAAATTCATGAAAAATTATAAGGTTCCCAGTTCCTAGTAAAAGATCATGGAAAACCAAATTCATCACTTTTGGCAGAAAAAATCTGGAAAATTTAAGTAAGCATTGGATCGTTCATGGATGAAGTGACATTCAATAATGTGATTAAATCTTTGCATTTCCAGTATCGTGGTCTACATGTGAGGCCTGGCTATCATGACCAGTATGAGAATTTTCCAGAGAGGTATAGAGGAAGAACTATCTTGGTGAGTGAATATTCAAATTAGTGTGCAAATTCCTTTGACCTAGATTTTTATTAATATACAATGCAGTATTGTCTTCCTACTATGGAGATATGGGTTTTCTCTAAAATCATTTCATTTATGTACTTACAAATCAGAAGAATTCTAGCTGGGTGTCTGAGTGAGACTAATAATTTTCGAAGAAAATGTGAATTAATATTTTTTGAATGAAGTATTTAGGGGGCCTCCCAAGAGCCCACAAGTCCCTCTGGCTATTTTGTATGAAGCAAAGAAGAGTTCGCATTCTAACAATGTAGTATTTTCTTCATAATATGGAGATATAATTCTTCTCTACAATCATTTTATTTATAAAATCCACTTTCAAATCAGAGGATTTCTAGTTAAGTGTCTGAGGGAGTGAATATTAACATTTTTCTCTCGCAAGAGCCTATATATTCCTTGGGCTACTCATATGAGTCTAATGAGATGTTGTTTCTCTCCAGTTCTTTGATACCATAGAGCAGGCCTACAATTATGCTGACACAGAGGAAATGGAGAATGCCCTCATTCTGGTACACAGTGGGATGTACCAGGGAGAGTTCCTAGTGATTGACACTAATATCAACCTCATTGGGGCAGGTAAATAATATTTACATCATATCATTAAAGGCTTAAATGATGATTTAAGAAACGTGATAATTCATTGAAAATTGCTCTGAAAAAATACAAAGGCCATATATGATATTTATTTATGATAACTGATACTGATAACTAAGGCAAAACTATAGGTAAAATTTAAAATGAAAAACTGAAGGCTTATTCAAAATGTATAGTTAGTAGTGTAGCCAAACTCAAAATGGACAGCCAATGTCAAAGAAGTAAAGTTTAATAAAATATGATAGCTGTGAACTTGTATATTTTTCAGCACCGGGTTCTGTTGTTGACCATGTATTTATTGAACGACAAAGCGAGTCTACTATCATGTTTGTTGAGGGTGCCAGGGAGGCCTATCTCGGCTATGTTACATTAAAGTTCACTCCCGATCACGGATCGTCAGTTCCACACCATAAGCATTATGCCTTAGAGGTCACAGAAAACTGCTCACCAATTGTAGATCATTGTGTTGTTCGAAGCTCATCTGTTGGTAGGTTCAGCTTCTTATTGCAATTTCAAATAACTTTCTAGTTATTGTTATGCAATTACTCAGATGCGAGAAGGTAGTTAACCGTTTCGCCACCAGGTGGCTTATTCAGGGAAAATAACATGGCAGGGTATTACAAAATTCCCTCAAACTTGAATATTCATTAGTTTTAGTGGTTTGCTTTTCACAATACCCTTATGTATGTGATAGTTATACAAATGAAAATATGTCCAGTAAAAGAAAATATTATCTGCCCAACACAAGAAAAGATATTTTCCCGACCTAGAAGTCACATTTTCAAAGAAAATCAATTTTTCAAAGTTAATAAACTCTTTCCAAAACCACATTTCTAGATGTAATTTTACATGTAGATTCCAAATATGACATCAGTTTGACTGAATTGTGAATTTTTAATGATGTAAATCAAGATTATTTCTACTCGCATCTAGTCTATTTCATTTGGTACAGCCATTAATAATGTATATAAAAAGTTGCAAACAAACTAATCAAGCTTGCAGAAGATATAGACAATGCAGAAAACATTGATGGAGTAATGAAACTTAGGTATACAAATTAGGCTAACACCTATGATTTCATTTCAGAATCAAAATCATATTTTCAGTTTATTTGTGCCTGATATTGGGTCTTAAAGTGGTTTTAACAAAAGCATTTACTTTATATTTTTCACATGGTAAATTAATTAACTAAGCTTCTATTTTATTTGAATTTTTCCAGTTGGCGCAGCTGTCTGTGTGTCTGGGGCTGGCGCGGAACCTCATATAAAAAATTGTGATATCAGTGATTGTGAAAATGTTGGCCTTTACGTTACAGACTTTGCCCAGGTGAGGAAAATGCTTTTCAGTTTTGTTTCAAAACTATTCAATTTTGTTTCAGTTTTTGAAGAGAAAAAGCGTAATGAATTGGTGTATTTGTAAGAATTGGCACTCAGGTTTTGCTTCATAAGTGGTCAAATTTGTAATCTGCCACCTTTAGATAAATCAGCTGAGATTTTAGGAAAAAATCATTGTGAACCTTTTGACCATGGAAAAATACTAGTAACACAATATTACAAAATAACTCTTAAAATAAAAGATTAATTAAATTTTATTTAACTCTTTCTGTAGGGTTGCTACGAAGACAACGAGATCAGTCGCAATGCACTGGCAGGTATCTGGGTGAAAAACCATGCTAATCCCATCATGAGACGCAACCATATACATCACGGTCGGGATGTTGGTATATTCACCTTTGATAATGGCATGGTAAGAGTAATTATTAACATTCATAAAGTGACTGTTATAGTCATGTAGAAAGAAAAAATTACAAGTTATTCCGTTATGAATCATCCATAAGAACTTGTATGAAATGTAGCCTCATGAATTGAACATAGCCTCATAAGAATACAATTTAGGCATACGTGTTGAATCTAGGCCTATATTTGTTCGTTGTATGCAGTTAAGCATTCATTCAACACTTTAATCTCAACTCACTGAGAGTGTGTTTAATTGTAAATATTACACTATTATTTCAGGGCTACTTTGAATCAAACGATATTCACAATAACAGAATAGCTGGATTTGAAGTAAAGGCGGGAGCCAATCCCACTGTTGTTAAATGTGAGGTGCATCATGGTCAAACAGGTGGTGTTTACGTTCACGAAAATGGCAGAGGACAATTTATCGAGAATAAAATTCACTCCAATAACTTTGCTGGTGTTTGGGTGACCTCGAACAGTGATCCAACTATAAGGTATGTTTGCTGTTTTATGGTTTTAGAAATAATGCCTTGCTGAACACAAATTCTTCGCTTAAGGTTCCGACTCATTTCTGTAAATCAGCATTAAATACTTCAAAACACTTCGAAAATTTCGATTTTCTTTTCCTGAAGATTATTACCACACATTTGCAAACTTATTGAAAAAACAAAATCTGAATGTATAGAGGGGCGTGATCCCAGAAACACAAAGTTACCAAAAAAGATACTCCTCTTTGAATAGCTTAATTTTTTCACAAAAATGCTTTGTGTCAGTTTACGTTGAAAGCATGTTGATTTTTATTTCCAGGAAAAATGAGATCTATAATGGCCACCAGGGTGGTGTGTACATATTTGGGGAGGGAAGGGGACTGATAGAATACAATAATATTTATGGTAAGTTAAAATGTCAAAAAGTTTTTTTCTCTTTTATGTAAAAGTTTGAAAAAAAGAAAGATTGTTCCAATATAAGTTCACCATCTTGCTGATCCAACAAATGAAAAATGAAAATTTGAACTTCTTGCTGTAATTGAATATTTATACTCTTCATCGATAAAATGCTGCTGATCATCCAAAACTGTTTGTTTTGATCAAATTTTTAGAAATGAAGAGATGCATCAATTCCTTCATATTCCCCCATCCCTATTTTAACATAAGCACTTCATAACATAAACTTTAGGAGAATCTTAGTTTGGTGAAAGACTTCAGTTCATCTGATCTCAATCATATGACTAAATATATAGAGGTTATGTCATTATCATGTCCTCTGAAATAACTCAAGTTTAATCATCCATTTACTTCAGAGAATAATGATTTATTTTCTGTTTCTTTTCGACGTTTTGAAGTAAATGAACTTGAGTTATTTGATATATTACCAGATGAATCTACACATAAACATGTTCTATGTTTACAGGCAATGCATTAGCTGGCATACAGATTCGCACCAATAGCAATCCAATTGTTCGGCATAATAAAATACACCATGGTCAACATGGAGGAGTCTATGTCGTAAGTAGTATACTTTTTATCATAATAGAATAACAGAATAACACAAAGGTGTATAATTTAAAGTGTTATAGGTTTATGTCTGAGTAGTCCCAAGTTTGGATTCAAATCATTGGTATTTTTAATCATTTGTAGGTATTATTTCATCTTTGATTTCGTAAAGGCTATATTAAAAATCTGTCTGCCTGTCAAAAGAATGAAATATTGAGAAATGTTTTGCAAAAAACTAGGTTAGTCTCTGCTGAGAAAAAAATTTGGAATATTACCGAGACTATTATATGTGCATTATGTTTAAGGAGATTTTCTCACATAAAGTGTTCTCACATTATACGCATTTATTGAAAGATAATTATATTTATAAGCAATGTGGTTACAAGAACTATTATATGATGCCTATAAATAGGTCATCTGATCTATCTCTGCTAGTGAATGATGCCTATAAATAGGTCACCTGAGTCTATATATGCTTGTAACTGATGCCTATAAATAGGTCACCTGAGTATATCACTGCTCGTATATGATGCCTATAAATAGGTCACCTGAGTATATCACTGCTCGTATATGATGCCTATAAATAGGTCACCTGAGTATATCACTGCTCGTATATGATGCCTATAAATAGGTCACCTGAGTCTATCTCTGCTCGTATATGATGCCTATAAATAGGTCACCTGAGTCTATATCTGCTCGTATATGATGCCTATAAATAGGTCACCTGAGTCTATCACTGCTCGTAAATGATGCCTATAAATAGGTCACCTGAGTCTATCTCTGCTCGTATATGATGCCTATAAATAGGTCACCTGAGTCTATCTCTGCTCGTATATGATGCCTATAAATAGGTCATCTGAGTCTATATCTGCTCGTAAATGATGCCTATAAATAGGTCACCTGAGTCTATCTCTGCTCGTAAATGATGCCTATAAATAGGTCATCTGAGTCTATTCTATTTTGCAGAGTGTGAGTTGTTAAACATAACTGCTTCAGTGGTTGATCAAGGTTGAGTGTTTCATTAATAGCCGGAGTCATTATTCTATCCAGAGTTCTTCTGTTGCATTATCCTTCTTCCCAGATCTTCTATCGGCTCTTATATTGGCTTTAATGTCAGCTTCTATACACTCGTTGCAGTGGCACACTCCATTTACAGACTCTAAATGCTCAAATTCTCGTTGTCTATCGTTGATCAGATTCTTTTGGAAATCAATGCATTCTCTAAGATCGTTAATCTCTCCTTTTAGCTTGTTGATTTGTTCATCGTAGACTTTGTTGACTTCTGTCATCTTGGCTAACCTTTGTTTACTTTTCATTAGTTGGTGTTTGATATTGTCTGGAAAATAAAAAAGATAAGTTATAATTGAGCAAATTCAATAAATTGTCAAGTTTTAAGGATAAGTCTTGCAGGAATGAGATTTCATTGGGGCTCATTGATATCCAGAAATTTTGCCCACTTGGGAAAAAATATTTTCAATGTTTTGGATTTTTCTTTACCTTTACTGAATAATTGATGTCAGAGATCAGTTGATATACAATGTTCTCAACTGGATCAATGTCAGGCTTTTACATTGAGTGCAAGGAAACATTCAAGTTGTCATTCAATGCTAGTGAAACTGTGCTGATATACTTTTCATATTGTAAAACTATAATGCCAGGGTTTTTGAATCACCAAGATTTTTGTCTAAAGTTTTTAATTTACCTCGTTTCTTCAGTTTCTTTGGTTTGGAGTCCTCTTTCTTCTCTCCAAACAGCATATGGGCCACATGGACCACTATTACGAGACCAAAAAGCATCTTAGATAGTTTATGAATTTCGCTATTGTTGATAGTCCTTTTCTTGTTTGATTTTCCTCTACTTCTTCAGAGCTGTTTCCAGTTTCAAGTCAAGTTTCAGAATGATCCAAATAGTTACAGATAATCGTATCAATAACAAAAGTTGTAGTTATGGTCCCATCAAGTGTGATGTCATAGTGAACTCCAATTTCTAAACTATTAAACTTTATGACAATATTAGAAATATGTTGTTCTATGTTTCTGACATCACCATAAGGATGCTGCTCTACACGGTTACTGTTGCTATGAAGATTGGTTGATTTTTGTTGTTTTGTTTTCATTATGACATCATTAGGCATGAATCATGTTTCTTTGGCAAGTGTGTTCATTTCTTAAAAGCAATTATTTTTTGGCACTTTTGAAGTACACAATATTATTTGAATAAGACGACAACACAGGCTAAGTCTTAAGCCACATAAAGATGAAAATGAGTTCCATGTGTTTCAATAAAGAAGATGGAGGGGAATTATGTTCTGTAAAACTTATTTGCTATTTAACTGCCTCTAACTTTGTTTTTTCTTTTATTTCAGCATGAAAAGGGGCAAGGCCTCATTGAGGAGAATGAAGTTTACTCAAACACATTGGCTGGAGTGTGGATCACAACAGGCAGTACACCCGTACTTAGACGCAATAGAATACATAGTGGCAAACAGGTATAAGTTATAACAGAAGGATCATAGTCCATGGTTCCTTGAAATTGCATTTTCAATTGATTTCTTGTTTTTAATAGATATTACAAATGTTCAAGATGATTTTGTCTTTACCATAGTTTTTTCTGTAAATGTGATATTTTTTTGTGAAATTAAAACTAAAAATGGTATGTTCTGTAAAAGCTTATTTTATGCACCAATTCAGATCTTTTACAAACGATTGAATGCAAACCACAGTTATTACCAGCCGAATAATAATTGATAATGAGTGGGATAAGTTCCAAATATCAATTTAGGTAGGCCAAAGAGGTAGAATAAAAGAGGCTTTTGTTCTGATATCAAGTATTAGGTTCAAAAGTCATCCTACTGGAGTCACCTTAATGAATTTGATTTCTCATTTCCAGGTCGGTGTTTACTTCTATGACAACGGGCACGGCACCCTCGAGGACAATGACATATTTAACCACCTCTATTCTGGGGTACAGATACGGACTGGTAGCAATCCTCTAATACGGAAAAATAAAATATGGGGTGGCCAAAATGGCGGTATATTAGTGTATAATGGTGGACTTGGTGTCATTGAACAGAATGAAATATTTGATAATGCAATGGCTGGTGTGTGGATTAAAACCGATAGCAATCCTTCCTTAAGGCAGAATAAAATTCATGATGGTCGTGACGGAGGCATCTGTATATTCAATGGAGGCAAAGGTAGGTTGAGTTGGTCATTGTCAAAGCCTTTGACAAATTTTAGATCCATATCTCTATTGTACAATGCCTTATTTTGCAATGTGAAAAAGACTGATTTGGGCAATGTGCTTTTTAAAGACATTCAACATATTATCTTCATTTGATCTTGAGTTATTTCAGGGGACTTGGTAGAAGATAATACTCTTCCATACTAAAAAGTCCACCTTATTTTCCCTATGCATATCATATCTAAAAGCTGTCATGATTCTGTGGTTGTTTTCAGGTGTCTTAGAAGAAAATGATATCTTCCGTAATGCCCAGGCAGGCGTACTCATTAGCACGCAAAGTCACCCTACTTTGCGTAAAAACAGAATCTTTGATGGTCAGGCAGCCGGCATTGAAATTACCAACAATGCAACTGCTACATTAGAAGGGAATCGAATCTTCAACAATAAATTTGGTGGTCTTTGTTTGGCCAGTGGTGTCAATCCTGTACTCAAAGGTGTGTAAATCAGGCATATCCAATATGCAAATAGTTATTTCATGTTAATTTTGTTAATTTGACACTAATTTGGTATTGAATTTTTGCACGGATTAAGTAATTTTATCACAAATATATTCCCAGTTCCAATTTGGCATCAAATGATCCCGAGAAAGGTACCTTCATCTTTGCCCTGTTGATTAGTTATGAAGATCTTAGCAAACTTGAAACAACTGATGTTTTGCTGTAAATGTATGTTTTCTTTTAACAAAATGATTTAGTTTAGCAATACATGTATTTCTATTTATTCTATAAATGTTTTTCAAGCAACTGAAAATTGTTGCTGTAACTAATTAATTATAACATAAAAACAACTATTTTTTGTTTTCTTTTAGATAATAAAATCTATGACAATCACAACATGGTAGAAAAAGCTGTAGGAAATGGTCAGTGTTTATATAAGATTTCCAGTTATACCAGTTTTCCAATGCACGATTTCTACAGGTAAAGATCAGAGACACCTATTGTCCAGTTTGTGAATACTTGCAAAATCCCAAAGTTACTTCAAATTAATACATGCCAACCCCTTTTTATTAGGCCTTAAAATCTTACTGAATAGTGAAAACACCTTGTATGTATTTTCTTATATTTGTAAAGAATTTACCAGTGTTCTATGTTTGATTAAAAAATCTCAATTTTCTCTTTTTATAACTTTAGAAAACTTCCGTTTTAAACTATTTAGCCATTAGAAAGGATTGGCATGCATGCATATGTATTTCCATAGTGTAAGTTTGTTGAAACTGTTAATTATTTGTTGAAAAATGAAGTAAATTTTGGGAGCATGCAATGTTCACACTTGACAGTGGAAACTAAATTTGGATCAATTTCCTAAAATGACCTCATAGTAAAATTCTTAAATTAAAAGAATTCAAGACACCTGATAGAAATCTAGATAGATAATTTAGTTAATTCATTTTTAGAAGTTACCATTGTTAATTGTTATTTGTTGATTTATTAAGTAAGTTAATAAAATGACTGTGGTGTAAAATATGCTTTAGGGACTAGTTTCAAGAGAATATAAATTGTATATTTGAAATTCCATTTGCCGAAAATATCATACATTACAAATCTTATTTTCAATTGACTTAGAAATATCCTTGAAATATCAGAAAAGATGATTGTATTTCATCATTATATTTCTTGAGTATCTGTCTCCAGATCTGTCTGTCTTACTTGCATTTGTTTTACTTGATTCACGTAGCCACATCAATAAGGGTTATGTACTGGGAGGTTTTGGATATGGGGAGGGAATATGCATATCTCCCGAAGGATAAACCCCATTTCCAAACTGTTCGTACATTAAATAAAGATCTAGGTAGAGTCTCACAGAATCAAAAATCATTAAGCTAAATGAATGAATAGGGAAGCGGAGTGTAAAGATGGCATCACCTTCTCTAAATTTATAAAATAAGAATGATTCACGCTCAAAGTAGGCTGTGAGTTTTAAATTGTTTAGTTTTTACAGATGCCGCACGTGCAACACAACCGATCGTAACGCCATCTGTGTCAACTGCATAAAGACGTGTCATAAAGGTCATGAGGTGGAGTTCATCAGACATGACAGGTGATTATTTGTGTCTAAACTGAAACTGGTTAATATGAATTTGCATTGACTTCATAGGGCATTGGGTACAGTGTTTTTAATAGGAATTGTGGATAAACTTGTTTTACACAGCCAATATAATTCTGCGCCCTTGCAGCATAAAAAAAACTTGGCACTGCTCCGGCACCGAAACCATTCGACACCAAAATTTGGCACCGGACTAGTCAGTCCATTTGGTGCCGAAAGGGCACCGAAATTTGGCACCAAAACGGTGTCGAAAATCAGATTGCATTTTGGGGGTGTATGCGACTGTGTATTATTAACTTATTTATAGGGCTATGTGCTCCTCAATTTAAAGGGCTCTTGGTGGCTCAGGATTGATTCATTTGCATTGTCAGGATTGAACAATCAAATTGATGAAATCTCTTCTAATGTTGTATTAACCTCACTTATAATTTTCTTTTGTAGATTTTTCTGCGATTGTGGTGCGGGTACATTAAGTAATGGGTGTCAGTTACAGGGTGAACCCACCCAAGATACAGACACATTATATGACTCTGCTGCACCCATGGAGTCACACACATTGATGGTCAACTGACATCCAATTATCCAAATTAACATGTGTCAAAGAAAGAAGAATTGCAGTCTAATTTGTAATGTCTACAAGGAGCCCCTTTCACTGGTAACAATGCCAAGGGGTCTTGTTTGAAATCAGATGCATCGTTTACATTTTTGATAAAAAATTTGCTATTGTCCATATAATCTTATAGGTAATGTCTATTGTACATTGGTGAAAATCAATTTTTGTAGATTTTGAATGTATATTTCATACACATATTGTATATTTACCTCAGTCCTTTCAAGTTTCATGACGTTCATCAGGCTGCTTCCGCACTAATAACGCATTCGATTTATGCATTACTAAAGTTGTCAGTATTACCATATATAGGCATGGTCTCATTCAGGGTTACACCCAAACAAAATGTCTGAGTTATGTGTCTGCATTCCACCCATCTCATGCTCATTTTACACTAAAAGCAGGGGGCCATGACTAAAAAAATACAATTTAATTTGTAAACAGGGGCCAGTTTCTATAAAATATTGTAGATGTATAATTATACCTAAAAATGGACTGTGATTGTGATGTTATTTTGGTTTAGACCGATAGAGATAAAAGAAAGGATTCATTTCATGAAAATTTAAATTATTTTTGAGAAACAACCCCCAGAAGAATTTGCATTGTGTAATATAGATATTAATTCTAGATTAGAAAAAAATATATTTCTGATATGGCAACTAGGTCAATGTATTTATATCAGTTCAATATGGTTTTGTATTTTTAGTAATGGCCCCCTGTTCGAACTGTACGTTTAGGTTCAATTTAAAACTAGTAGTGAGTGAAACCAATCAATTCAAATTAAGATGTATAGACTTGTATTTAACAGATTGAAAATCGCTAAAATTGTACAGAAACTTATTTATTTAGTCTAGGAAGTGGTTTTGGTGTGATTTAGCATTGCTTAACCAAAAATACATGTGCAGTGCCTGTAGCATTTCAAATATTTATCAAATATTTTACATCATTTTATAGTGCATAAATTACTCTCCCACTTTCATTGTACAGTTTAAACAAAGAGTAGAAAGTTGGGCAGTAATTTATAAGAACTGTATACAAGTGTGTTATGTGACTTTCGAAAAATATACAAACTGTCAAGGGGTTCATTTCAAAGTGTCAACAGTTGGGGGAAAAGTAATTTATATTTGCCTCTGTCACCTTATATTTGCCTCTATCACCTTATATTTGCCTAGGTCACCTTATATTTGCCTCTATCAACCTATCCCTTTCCCGTCCCACATAGATTCATAAACATTGATTTTTCATTGCTTTAAATTCACAGTGTTTTGATATACTTTTAAATAGAAAATGTTCCCCTTTCCCACAGCGCTAAAGGTAATTAATAATTACATTTTTCCCAACTGAGATATTTGACCTCTAAATGGGCGTTCTGTCTGTTTTGTGAAAAGCATTTTTGAGGATATGGTTCATATCAAAATGCCAGTTTGATCAAAACAGATTCCACGCATATTTTGATGTAATGGGTGTCCATAGTAGGATATATGTGTGAGTGTAGTGTAACAGTGCCATACACGTGTGCGTTTACATAGTGTCTTGTAATAAAATATTAAAATGAGGTGATGTCATATGCACAAACTTAACAATGAGATTGCCTCTCTAAGATTTATATCTGTACATATTTTTCATTATATACAGTGATGTGTTTCCAGAAGTGTGATATTCTTAATGATTTATAAGAATTAATTTTTGGCTGTTCATGGAATCTGATTTATGAACAATTTTGTGGCTGTTCATGATTACATCTGATCTTCTTTCTGACTATTCTTGCGAATGCCATTTTTGCATCCAGTATATTTGTATGGACAAGCCTGTATTGAAAAAGATGTACACATATAATTATAAGTAGACATATTTCTTAACTGAAAATGTTTCCTATTAGTATCAGTATACTAGTCTAAATGTAAGGTATCCTTATATGCAACTTGCTTTTGATAGGATCGGAAGTGTTTGATGACATCGTAATATGTTGTAAAAGAAATGCAATAAATTTCTTCAAAGTTAAGTTTATTATAAAATGTGAATATATTGATCTCTTAACATGGCCAGTTCTAATCGTTTTCAAAATTTTTTGTATTAATCTAAATGTAATTTGTTTTTAACTGTACATTCGGCATTGACTGAGAAATATGAAGGCTTTAGCTGGACCCCTATTTCTACAATCTCTCTTTGTAAAATTCAAATTGCAAATGGTATATCTCTTAACAAACCATGCAGAAGAGGTTGAAGGAGTATACCAGCATTCTATTTGTAAATTGATCAAAGTTCAATAAAGATAAGCTTATGTTCAATGTACTTATTAAGATGAATTCCCATATATCTCGCCTTGTTAATTCCATTAGGCCGTAACAATTTTGACTTGGTTTTTTTTCACAACTGAAAACTTTTAGACAACTTCTCTTAGACACCTCATTCTGAACTTGTTTAGCACAGTTATATGTAAATATTTATGCAGTAATGAACATATAGATTAGCGAGGGTGGTGTGACTTTAAGTTAAAAATGAACAAAATGTGACGCATACATACGTTAGTAGTTAGTCATTTTTTAATCCAGTGAACAAAGATATTTTGTTTATATAAAGCGTGGTGATTTTAGTAATTAAATGTTCGATCTAGTTGGAGCATACCAAAATGTATTAAATTCACTGTAGATTAGAGTGTTGCAATATTATTTTGATTATATGTTATAACCACCAAGGCAAGGGTTGATTTTGTATCTCGTATATTGTCACATTGTAGATGAAATGTCCCTTCTGTATGTATACCTCGCGAGCATCAACTTCGGAATCTGTGTATAATTGAATATACATGTATGCAATTATCTGACAAAGACCATATTAAAATCCAACATTATGACACTGATTTTCCTTTTTGTGCAATTCTAATTTTAAAAGCCTTATAGATTTTATTTTATGTAGAGATATGATTACTATAAAATATAAGAACTATGGAATAATAATTTTAGTGTCATTAAATTCAAATATCCAAGTTATGTGTAACTCACTCTATATATTCTTGGAATGAATTGTAATTTTTCTAATGACAATTGATTCTTATGATAAATATTTGCGGTGTTATGTATTATAAGTTTACATTGTATTTGCATACAGGGTTCTTCAATAAATTAAAGTACTACTTGGAGACTTGCAGAACTTCATTGTGAAAAATGCTATTAATATTACAACGCTTACATGACTAACATTAGTACATGAGCTTTGATATTTCAACAAAAACAACTTTGCCTTTGACATCGCAATTGACAACTATATGTAAATACATGGGGGCTGATTATTATCAAAACATTTCAAGTGTCAAATTATCTGAACATTATCTGTCCATTGGACATAAATAAAGGTTTCTGAAAATATATTGCAGTTTTTGTTTTAAAGTGTTCAAAACTCTTAGTAGTACTTTAATGAGGTCATTAATTCTCATCAAGTTTATCTGTACAGAGGTATAGCTATGTAAAACCCTCAATTTGTGCATGTTCCATTTCAATTGAATTATGAACATTATCAGAAGTTGATAATTGTTTAAAACATGTCCTGATTCTAGGAGCATACCAGTATTATTCCTCATAGTGTTTTAATTCACAAAGAATCGGGTCAATGTACCGATGTTGTCCAAAAACACAAAAAATATATTTAAAATTCCCTCTTCCCCAAAAAGTAATTGAATATTACTATTGATTTATTCCTTGTAGAAATCAATATTGACTCACAAAATGTGTACCACATCTCAGAATCATAGATATACATGAAAATTGCCATATTGAACTAGCCCGAAAATCTGCTAGATTAATGCATTCATTTAACATTGAAGCATTAAGCTTTGTGTTCCACTTTTGAACCTCGATTGAAATCAAAATGCAACAAACATATATGAGGGATAATACTGATATGAAATCCTGCGTTTGTTCTAATTTATTCTCATGTGGCTATAAAATGTAAGAGGATATCATACGTATTGACTGACATTTCTTTAGATAGGGTTTGATTTCTGATATTAAGTACTTGCAATTTGGTTGTTACATATGAAGTACAGTACAAAGCACTCTAATGAGAAAAAACCTTTACTAAATGTACATTATAAAGGATTTCTTAAAAGATTTACTTGAAGGGTCCCGCAATACATCAAATATGAAATATTCGGCTCATTAGCATAATGTATCGTGGGACTTCTAATGTATTTCTGGGAGTTTAGTGTCTGTGTGACCTTTCTTGAAAATATGGTGAGTAACAATACGAGAAATTGTCTCTTTGTTGTCGTAAGATTGTGAGACATTCGAGATTTATGAATCGTATGTACACGTAATTCACAAATTTTCTGAGAAATTGCATCGTGGTTAGTTTTTTGTTGTACTGTAATTAATGTGTCAGGTTGACCAACTTTTAGCAATGCTAACCTTTGTTAATTGTAAGATATTATATATAATTAAATAAATTATATAATTGTTATAAAGCAATTCAAATATAATTGTTGTGTTCAAAGTCACTGATATATTATTCATAGTGGCAAATAAGAATAGAAGGTGTAAAATGTTACTACCAGAAAAAGAAATAGAGATATTTGAACAAATGGACACTCTCGAAGATACAAATGTCAAATATCTATTGGAATTAAAATAATTGCCAGACATCCTAAAAATCAAAGTATTACCATGAATTCAACCATTGTCAAAGAGTCAGCCAATCAAATTACATATTACCTGTTCATTACTAAACAATAATGAACGATTTTTCATAAATTACTGCACTGTCCAAATCTTTGAAACCGTGCCTGTGATCCAGGATTTATTGCCACATTATAGCCAGAAAAGGTTGAATTCGAGTCAGCTCAGTGCAGTCAACTACACATTCCTTGTTTTTTGTTGGTTTTTAGAGTATCGGAATGACAAAGAATTTTTGTAAGCAAAAAATATTAGAAAGTAACTTGTTTCTAGTTTTCATGTAACATGAGGTCCTTTTGGGAGAATAAGTCTTCCCCAGTCCAGCAGTCCACTTTCTCTGAAGCTTGAACTTCAAGAGAGAAAATGGGCGTGGCACATAACTAGCCGTTATAAGTCCCGTCCTTGTACAATACTCTATCATAGAATACTGGTATAATATAATTTCAACATTATGTCAGTAGCTGTCAACATTAATTAAAAAGTAAAATGCATTCCTCTGAGAGATCATTAATAAATTATTATCGGATACATATACTAAAGACATTTTACTCCATAGAAGACATCATAGAATAGCTTTTCCCGAGGAAAGTTAAGCGTACTGGACGAAAATAATCAAATATAATCATATACGTGGTGCGTCATGGATATTTTTATTATTTCAACCAATAGCGACACAAGAGATCATTCAGCTGCTATGAATTTTGACCTACATACCAAAATCAAACAAATTCTGAAATATTTATTTTAATAATCTCTTATATACTCCGCGATGGACGAAGATGATTTAGAATTCGACCAGCCTAAAAAGAAAGGGGTATGTATATGATTAATTAATGCATTGAAATAGTAAATCGATGTTAGATTTTGAACAGTTCAAAGATCGGAAGCAGGATGATATTTTTTAGATTTATTTCAGATCTGAGATTTTATCACACACAAGACTCAGTCTGTGTCACATATTTCGGCCCTTTTAAACGTTCCTCATACAAAGTGGTACC